TGAAAAATATAAGATAGTATTATTTGAATACAAGCTATTAAATTCACTCAATCAAAACAAATTCATCGAACCTTGAAATAGGTATAAATAATGTGATCGAGGAATAAAAGCAAATTTCGATGTAAATTCAGCGAGATTTAAAAACAAACTCCAAATTATGTACCTAAATATAATCAAAGCGTCTAGATCGATTTGTCGATCTCATAGCAACAGATGCATTTTCCGAGACTACTAAAGCTACGTGACGATTTTCTTAGAAGATTGGATTGCAGCCTGGGGCTTGCATAGCTAATTTGTCAAGAATTAATATAAATGCCGACGGTGCTAACACACCCGTACGATAATCCATCCATGAACTTGCCTCTACTAGAGCTTCTAGCACGCAATTTTAGGTGTAGCTCTCACGAACACTTGGTCAGGATTCAATTTGCAAGTCAAATTCCAGCTAACGCCTACGAGACCATTTAAAATACGTTTTGTATACAAGGTGTCCTGGTGGTAAAGAATGATCATCTGCGTAAATACGGTGAGTTATAATATTCTTTAAAGAGATGGTATATATGCAAGTACAGCTACACATGGATAAATGAAGTCATCATGAAATTTGGTCTCGAATCAGCTTCCATCCAGCTTGTGTGTCAAACATGACATTTTGTGTGCGACGCGAATTTACACGTTACTATTCTACAAGCGCTGTCGCATACATAACGCCACCTTTGGCATATATACTTTATGTCTTAATTTCACCTTTTAATAAATGGAAGTAGCTGACTGGACACCGATCAGGAATTTGCTAGAATTTAAATGAACCCGAGAGAAAAATACCGAGCAGCTTGCTATATATAAATGTAGCAATGCACTGAGCTGTTGCGCACGTATTCACACCGTCTTTTAGGCGATAGATCGCGCAACTATAGCCACCATTATGCATCAAATATAAAAATAAGATTGGTGTAATGAATTATACAAAAAGAAAATCCAAAAAAACAAAGGCATAATTTATGATTGGATTGCTTTGATCCTACTAGCGGCATTACCTGATAAGTTTGGATTTAATGCTGTGAAAGGAGTAGGAATTGATGCCAAAACTTCTTATAGATGCATTTCTCACAAAACTGTTATTTGATATAATATTTTGACGTGTTTACAATATCTTGTATCACTCTCGTTGTCTAAACCCCCACAAATGTTTGCAGCATATGGACATCATTCAGACACTGGCGAAATCATTGGAGCACAGTTTACGAAGGTTTACCGCGTATATGGTCGATCTTTTAGAAACTGTTTTCACCAATATAATCCTTTGCAGGTAAAGATAGGCGTATCAATAGGTTTTCTTTGTATTTGTTAGTGCTAATCATGTCGCTTTACTAAGAGTAAGCAAAAAGACTTTTCTTCCAGGTAGTATCGAGACTTCCGACGACCAGGGCCTTTTACCACGCCTATTTACTATCAGCCTACCGCACTTCTTGGCCAGATTAAGATATCAACGACTCAAGACTCGAATCGAATCGACTGCGATCAAACTAAGCAATCCACGCATTGGACTGGACGGCCAAAATCGCAGATCCATTTGATTAATCGCCAATTTGGCAAGCAATATTTTTTACAAGTGGTAAGAAAGTAAGATTAAATGGGATCAAGCGTCTAAAGGATAAAACAAGGGGTTACAAGACATATCGGGCAATCTTACGCATAAACAAACCCATACATCAATCGTTTTATAAGGGATGCGATATAGTGAAGGATATTTTTGACCCCGTGCGATCCAGAACATCGTTTAAGACCGTTACAAAGAGATCAATTTATGCCGACTAATGGGCATACAATCTAAGTACAAGAGCGCAAACGAAAACATAGGTAGAAATAGCGCCTCTGTAAATCGACCAAGATGGGCTCAGTGCAAAATGGGGAATCAAATAAACAAATTCGAGATCGCGGCTTCCGCATAACAAAATCGTCCAATGCAAAAGGCTCTCGAACCAGTGCATACACGTTTTCAAAATGCCCATTAATAAATTTCGCTAGCTCGCAATCTAGTCGACAATAGTGTTCAGTGGTCTATTAAACTCAAATTTTAAGAGCACTGCAGACGAAGAATGCAAGATGGCACCTTATGTAGAACAGTCAAAATCTCAGCAACACGTCGCAAATGATGAAGCCGGCACATACAATATCAGATCCAGATTTAATCACCAAATCAAGACGATGCAGAAGGTTTGAAGGAAGACTTACAATGATGTTCATCTTCATTTGTTTTGGATAAGATTCGATTACCGACAGCTGTGTAGCAAGACACTTCTCGTCTCGCGAACCACACGTACTTACCATATGGTCAGAAGATCCATCAGCATACCGTCACACAGGCCATACATAAGTAGTATATCCCGACATACAAGCAATCGTTTCTATACTCCTCATTTTTGGTAGCATTGAGAGCGGAGATGGCAGCTTAGCGATAATTGTCAAGTACTAAATGGACACACGTCGACATTGTAATGAGCTGGACCCGCGTGCTGTGTTCTCACTAGCGAACCTATTTCAGGTGTAGGTGCTAAAGCTGAATAAAAAAAAACCAAAAAAAAATAATAAAAATAATTATTCACTAAAAGTAAAATAAAATATATTTCCACTGACAGCAAAATCAAGTTTCACCTCGCATGACGTAGACGACATGTAAATCAAAGCTTCGATGGCTTTAGGTTAATAGGATACTCTATCTGTTGCTCTACTTTGTGTCAAAAGTAGAGTTCCTGTTTTGGCGTGTTGTCGTCACGCCGGTCAACGTTTGGGTCAATCTCAAGCAATCTAACCAGGTACCTCTTAACGCATTGATCTCGATGGCTCGTCCTTAGATGTTTACTTGACAAGTCAATCTTATCAAATCGTTTGTTAGCCTTGAAAATAAGGAAGTAGAATCGTAAAGGAGTCGAGATGAAAGCATCTTTGTGTTTTACGTGCAAAGTCTTTTACATTTTTTTCTTGAACACAAATCCTTTTATGATAAAGCGTGTCCAACCAGAATATTTATGCATGCATCTGTAACACAAATTCTTTTCTTAATTATTATAGTTAGGGCCGCCGTATCTGTAAAATATTCAGCAATAATTACACCATAAATCCACATGATACATATGTCGCAGCATTTGGCATACGAGCACGCACCATACCTAGTGCAGGTACGACCCTGTGCGCAGTATTGACATTATGTCCTATCTATAATTGCTAGTTTTCTCCTAAAATCATGTTGTGTAACGCCAAATTCTTCATAAGTTATGTTATGCTATGCTCTACACGGCTTATGAATGCAGCCGTCACGGTCCCCATAGGCTATATCAAAATTCATTATACCCAGAAAAATCGATATAGACTGCCATTCATCGTCCACGAGGTACACGCACATAAGCAAGAACGCGTTATTAAGATAATTTACAAACTCGTTTTTTCGACAACTGCTGCATAACAATTGCTTTCTTCACACGTTCTGAGTCATAGTCGTAGGCATCTCGGAATCAGAAATGTCTCCATGATCTTTGACTCACCATACTCGTCCATTTATAATGGGAGCTTCTGATTGATAATTCGGGTGTCGTCAGAAGCTTATTGAATCGGGTCGGGGTGACAGGATATATCAGAGATGCTTGCAGGCGATATATGTCAGCATCACGCTTCAGTGCGACAGTCAGCTCCGTGTCAGGTTTATGAAATACTCTTGTGTAGTTTCTGAAGCTGTCGTGCGGCCAAGCCTTTCTTCGGTTTTATACCTCGATTGAGTTTAACTCTTCATTTTTGTGTTCTTCGTCGGCCAGCACACCCACGCAAGAAGTGTATTGTTGTTGTCAGCACAGTCAACCCGCACGCCCCATTCGAAATCGAACGAAGTCACGTTTAGGTGTGCCTCGATCTTGAAATCTCTCCACTGCTTGTCAGACTGACAATGAAGGGTCCGCCGTGGATCTTTTGGAGAGGCATGATCACAACTAGTGCGGCCTCAAGTCTCGGTAAAATTGACCTGCAAGGTCGCTGAAGACAGCAGTGCGTCTCGAGTCGTTATGCTCGGCTACAACTACTTGAGCGAGACGTTTGGCAAATGTCGCATTGCGCGCGTCAAAGAGATATGTTGTTAGGAGCCAATGAGGTACGCTCAGAACGAGCAAATTTCACTTATTAAGATTGGTCTGCAGAACGAACTCGAGGGGAGGGAGCCGCAAAAGTGCTCGCTGCTGTCGCGTCGAGGCGAAAGAAGCAAAAAGCTGTGACGTCTTACTCGCGCTTTTTAGCGCAATCTTATACCATCGAAGTGCTCCCCTATTCTGGGCTTGGGCTACGATGTAGACTGGCACGTCAGCTCGTCCAAAGGATGACGACGATCCGCTATAGTAGCGTTGTCATAATTCTCGTATCCGGCTATTTGTAGTGTGTCAACCGCACCTCTTTGCGGCGGGGGGGGGTTGGCATCTAACTGTAAAGACCGATCAAAAATACGCCAGTCTTTGGACATTTATCGAATAGCATAGTAACCTCATCACGTTTATTGCAGTCGCTGCAGCAGCAGCATACCACAAGAAGAAAGCATGGAGTGCCGATAGCCGACTGAAGTTTGTACGAACATCGCGCGATGCTGTTGTCAGACTCTTAGAACATAATTTGGCAATCTTCATTTGTTACATCAGCGACATGCCGGCTGTTCGTAAACGGATATGCACGCTGAACAGATAAAAGCTCGTTCATCACCATGTTAGCCGCCGGTACGACAACTGCCATCTTCACTTATGGGCCAGGTAAGCTATAGTCTAGCCACCCTTTACTCCAAAATTGAGCAAACATGGATCCTCTCGTCGAAACAGGATCGCAGGCTCATCTTCGAAAGCTTGCCATTGTGTAGCCCTTCCTCGGTGCATCCTCGTCCTTATCACTTCCATTGAGATTGTCCGTGACCGCCCGAGTGACCATACCGGGCAAGATGTGCGCACCATCAGTTGCTCAATCTCCACGCACTCTTATGTCACGTAGGACGTGTTGAGCTTGGCACCAATTGCTACGGCAATGCGTGAGAATCGCAACGCGCCGCGCTTCAAAACATCGGGTTTGTGCTTCTCGTAGGCAGCTACGGCAGTCAAAAGCTTTTCGGAAGCACCCAGTCCTGTCATGTCGGGTAGCACTGATTTGAAATTGTCGTTTGCCTTTGTGGGCGTCTCGTGCGGAGTGACAACGACAGTTGCAGCGGAGGGCTCGTCCTTCACGGCACCAGTCGCGGTAGCTGGTGCCACCACACCACCGGCTGATGCGGCAATGACGTTTGCAGCTGGTGAAGCAGCAGTTGAAGTGGGTGTCTCGGTCTTCATCGTCGCGCTTTTGTCGAGCGCAGCAGGCGTAGCCGCAGAAACCACCGATGGCGATGGTTGCGATATTGTTGTAGCCATACTCATGTTCTTAGACTGCTCGTATTCCTCAGCCAACTTGCACTGCACTAGTTGCTGAGAAATTTTGTTGATCATTTGCGCTAGGCGCTGGGCCTGATGTGCAAGTTTCGCCTGGTGCGACGGTATCTTGGCTTCGCTCTGCTGCATGATCAGCTCCTGCTGCTGCTCACGCAGCTTGGCGTGCTGTGCTGTCAGCTGGTGCTTGCGTGCTTCTGGGAGCTTGAATGTCTGGTACTGCGCGGGCGTCAATGACGCTACACTGGTCGAAGCATTCGTTCCTGCAGAAGACAAGCGGACCGATGCCTCGACCGGAGTCTTGTGAGTAGCCTCTGAAGTCGTAGGGGGACCACCACTCTCGTTATGCGTGCTTGTGGCGGCGTGGTCATTACCTGCTGTTGCTGCAGTAGCAGATGTCACCCCCGTTGCTCCAGGCGCTGCTGTAGCATGTTGCTGCGCGTTCAGACGCGCTTGATTCTGAGCCTTCAAGTGCGCCTGCTGTTGAGCCAATAACTGTTGCCGCTGCTGTTGCTGTTGCTGTAGAAGAGCTTGTTGTTGAGCGTGTTGAGCCTGAAGCTGCTTCTGCTTTTGTTTGCGCTGTTCTTCCAGCACTTCTTGTTTCTTCGCGGCAGCAGCGGCTGCTGCAGTCTCAAGCTGCAACTTCTTCTTCTGCTCCTCCAGAAGCTTGTGCTCCGCCTCGGCCTTTTGTTGTTCTTGCATCCTCTTTTGCTGCTCATGGAGCTGCGCGAGCCGCTGGGCTTCCTGGTTATTCTTCAACTGCTCTTGGTGAGCTGCCATCGCACCACTGGTGCTGGTCGCTGCCGCAGCAGCGTGGGTTTTCGTCTTCAAACGTTCCAAAATAGGAAGCACTTGCTTATGAATGTGTGCCTCAACACGATCCAAGTCGTTCTTGTTGTTGCTTGTGACCTTTGCTGGATCCTGCTGTAAAAGTGCTATAATGCGCTTCAAGTTTACCAAGAAGGTGTGAATGCGCTCTTGCTGCTGGTTCGCAGGTTTTTGCTTCACCATGCGCTCGAACTCGCGATACACGATCACCAGATCGTCCCAGTACTTCTGTTTCATCTCTTTTAGTCTCTCCACGTATGTCTGGGTCGTGTTGCTAGACATCGCTGGTGTGGTCGATGCATTGGCTGTCGTATCGGGTGTTGACGATGCTGCTGCCGCCGTACTGCTACTGGGTAGCTGGTGCTTCAGTGCGTTATCCGCGTGCATCTGAGTCGTGTTTCGGGCACGCTGCATCTCGCGCATCGCTGCTTGTTGGGAGTGTGCAGCCACAAGCCGCTCTGTCTTCACTCCTCGCTGAGCAGCGGAAAGTGTTGGTGGCGTTTGAGTGGCTGGGACCGTTGCAGGAGTTGTCTGCGCCATTGTCGCGTTAGAAAGAGACACCGAAGCTGGTGAAACACCATCTTGCGTAGCAGCTATCATAGCTGCTGGAGAAGCACCACTCGTGGCGACAGCAGCTGTGGTAGCTGCGATCGAGCCTTGCTGCTGAAGCTGATGCTGCTTCTGCATCAGGTACTGCTGTTGCTTACGCTGCAATTGCTGTTGCTTGCTCTTGTGCAAATGCTGAAGTCGAGTGCGTGCAAGTTGATGCTGTTGCTGCAACGTTTGTAGTTGCTGACGACGCAGGTCAGGGGCGACACCTTGTTGTTGCTGCTGCTGAGATAGCTGCTGTTGCTGGTTCATATGCTGCTGGCGGAGCTGCTGCGTCTCCTGGTTCTGAGTGTGCAACAGCTGCCGCTGCTGGGCTTGAAATTGTACTTGGATGCGTTGTAGCCACTGCTGCGCCTGTTGCTGGGGTGGCGTAGCCATGTTTCCCGCGGGCGTCGTATTCGTCGTTGGAGCAGCGCTAAGTGCATTCAGCCCAGTGGTGACTCCCGAGTTGAAAACAGCCGAGACATCGACGTTTGCAGTCGCAGCTAGTGCAGCGGCGTTTTGTTGCTGAATTTGCGCCTGAGCTTGGGCTTGAGCTTGGGCTTGAGCTTGGGCTTGAGCTTGAGCTTGGGCTTGGGCCTGAGCTTGAGCCTGTGCTTGAGCTTGAGCTTGAGCTTGAGCTTGGGCTTGGGCTTGGGCTTGGGCCTGTGCCTGTGCCTGTGCCTGTGCCTGCTGAAAATTGCTCATTGCCTGGCTAGCTGCCGCATGACTTTTCTGAAACTGCTGTGCGTTCATGGCCGGGTTCAAGTTCACGTTGAGCCCGCCCGCCATGCCGCTTGCTGTAGCGTTCACAGCATTAGACGTCACTGCGTTGGTGGCATTGGGCATCATGTTGGCCTGCTGAATCTCACCAGCTCCTTGCTTCTTCTTGAGACTCATGATCTTCCTCTGCATCTTCATCAAGTACGAGTTCTACCACAGACCAACAAGAGCAACAAGGAAGCACAAGTCAGCCACATGGGCTTGCCGCCTCGTCCACTGCAGCTCCCGAGCAACACAACGTACCCGGTCGGGGCTGCTGGACCACAGCATCAACTCGAACTTAGCTGCTGATCCCCATACTTTCTGCTTGTCCACTTCGCCCGAGATGCGCGCGAGTTCGTGATACCTGGTAGCAGTTGCATCAAGCGGGACATGAAATGAGCACAAAAGTGTTTGAACCTGAGACAAATCACATCACATCACATCAAAGAGGGGGAAAAGGTCGACACGAAATCTTTTTTGTTCGTGGTCGAGTTCACCCCTTTCTGACGCGCTCAGTGCTTTGCACACACTCTAAAAGTCCCTGCAAAGGAGAGGCCGAGCGCCGTACATTTCAGTGATCATCTTTTTGCGCATGTCCTCGGGGATCTCCGACCGCCACTGGCCCTCCATGATGTGTCGTCCCTCGTGCTGTTCTGGCGGGTGGGCGCGGGAGACGTTAGTGGCAGACTCCAAAAGTTAAAGTGAGGGCTTCGGGACGCGGCGGATGTCAGCGTGGGGTCTGATTCGTCAAAATAGCAACTGGAACGTGTGACTGCGATTGGCGCAAACAAGAGAACACAAAAACAACTGCAGTTAAAGAGCATGTGCGCCAAATGTCTGGGGAAAGCTACACCAATGTGTGCGCTTCTTGGCACAACAAGTCAATACTTGCGGACGCTAATCAATAAGAGCTCACGCGAGTGGAATATCACGAACCAGTAATATGCACTGATCGTATTATTGTAGTGTAAGGTTCATACTGAGGCGGCGCCACAGGCGCTCAGCGCCTTCTACCTATCTCCACGCAAGCTCTCCACATCCAGGCCCAGCTTGAGTTTAGCAGAGGCACAGACTGTGAGCCGCAGCTGATGCCGGCGGCTATGTGTTTCTTCCAGAAGGTGTTGAACCGAAGCGATATGCTGGACTACGATGCAACAGGCGTCACCAAACACAGAGCGTTTGTGCGTTTTTCGTGGTGATCTCTTGCAAGTACAGGCACGTGCGAGACGAGTCGGCATGATCTGATGCCAATTGCACTAAAGTCGGAAGCGTAAGAAGTAGGCGCGTTCTGGTGTATCGTTGTTTTATTTTGGACACGACCAATGAAAGCATGAATGTAGCGGGCAGTGTGTGCATACATAGCGACGTCATCGTGCTCGGATAGAGCGACTTACAATGGTGGAATTGCGTCGCACTTGTTGGGGTCGCATTTGATCACACATCGCTCCTCGAGTCTTCGCAACAGTTTTGTATCAGCATTACTTTTCAGGCGCTGATGTGTACGTACGTACACATGCTTAGTATTCAGGTAACCTTTGCGCGTGTTCGCATATAATGGTCAACTGACGCTTCGCTATTTCCCGACCGCTTATGACCTGCAGTTCGTTGTTGCTGTTGTTCTTGAACGCGTCGATCAAATATTTACTGGTCTTGATTCTTTCCCGCACTGGGATGGACAAATACGATGCAGCAGCTTGACTGACGTATATCCACACGTACTCGTAACTTGCTCACTGCGCAATTTATTCAAAGTCGACGAGCTAAAGCAAAAACTCCAGACGATACCTCTTCATCCCAGTGTCATATATGCAAGGACTGCATAGCAACTCTGTCATTGCGTATTCGCTACAGCTTCTACACACTCGTTTGTGATGTGCGTGACGAGCTTGCAGATCGGTAACAACGTGAAGTTTCGACATTTTGCATGAATTCATGTAACAAAGAAACGCGCACGATGAACTATGCACATGCGGCTTCATAGTCATGCAGATAGTCGGCGAAGGACAATGTCGTTGCTAAAAATACACAGCCCATCGACGCAGAGTTATGTACACCGATGCATAGACCACATGGTATGTAATACTAATTCGATAGTGACGATCTCGCGTAGTCGCCCAGCACATGAATCAGGATAGTTAGACTAACTTCCAAGAACTATCTAAAAAGTAACGGCAACGTAAACAGGTCCTTCGAAGATATCGGCCGATCAAAATGTCCGGGGTACTATTAATGACAGGATGTAATATGTGGACATCGAACCACGAGTGGAATAACCGCGAATAATGCAAGGGCTCTCTGTTGTTGCGGTTACATGATACCTTAGTGACCGCGCTATGCCTTCTGGTGAAGTGTGAAGTGTGATTGCGCTCAGAGAGAAGTTGAAGATAAAAAGTGGACCACCCAGAGCTCAGGAAGAACTTGTGGAACAGTATATCGATATTTGGAGTACCCAGAAAACATTTGACCATTTAATGATGCTACGTTTGGCGTAGGTGAAAGATTTGGAAGAAGTGATGAGGGACGTCAAAGAACGAAGACACGACGCGGCAAGACACTATTTGGATCGAGCAATTTTTATCAGAAGGTGCCTGTCCTTCCCTGATCGACCACGAGAGACGAACCGTCGCTTCGTACATGAATTTTTTAAGTGGCCCCAAGAGAATCGAGCTCTGAAGAATCCAGCTTGGATGGATCTAATATCGAGGGAAACCTAAGGCGGGTGTACCTATCGGATACGGAGAGGGACCCAGGGGCGAGAACTCTGAGAGGCTGAACTACCAGAGAGGTTGACCAGCATTGGTAGCATATGGGGGACCCAGGACCTCGCAATACGCCAGCTAACTCAAATGCAAAATGTGATTACTGTGCGGTACCAGAAACAATGGAGGCTTGGGATGCTGAAAGCGAATGAATTGCGTTATCTGCGTAACGAAGGGTCACCCATAAGATCGTTTCTATTTTGTGTATCGAGGACGTGGAGAGGCTCATGATGCGGATAAGTGTCAGTTGAAGGACTTCTACAATATGATCCGCTAATGGTAGATTTTACCAAGCCCGCCGGAATGTTGTTGGAAAAGGATGAAAATATGGTAAACCAGGACCTTTATCAGGTATGAATCTGTTAGCCGAGCGTTCTAGGTTTTGTATCTTTGCATACGTGGAGAAATGGACCAATAAGGACATGGCTGCTTCATCTAAGAAGACCAATAATATATCGACAATTGGAAAATACCCTATGATCTATGCCGTCCCTGCTAATGATCCAAATGCCTTTGCCCGAAAAAATGAAGTTATGAAGTTGGACTCATTAACTAAAGAATCCAGGGGTTACCGGAAATAACTTGCCCCCGCTAAGTGTTTTATACAAGCTAAACTTCCGGGAAGATCGTCAACGATCGTAAGAACGTGTTGTTTGATATTAGTGCCGAGATATCTATTTTGGATGTCGCTTTTGCTCGTAAGGTATACTGTCATATCGACGTGAGTGAATGGCAGGGGTGCACTGTGATTAAGGAATTCGTAAAATACACGGAAAACCGCACTCGCATTAAGGTCACCCTGAAAGGTTATTTGATATACGTTTCCAAGGCATAAGTGGTCCCCAAGGTCGGTCAAGACGTGATCCTGGGAGTAAAATTTATGGTTCCGGCTGGTATCCGACTTGATCTGGTAGATGATATACTACGTCTCCCGTACAAAGTGCAAATAAAACCCTCCGGACGAAGGTCCATTCCTGAAATTAAACATTGGACGTGAATTTAGGACAATACGCGTAAAAGTCCACCAGGGAGTACGCGGAGGTACCTCTCAACAGGTCAACAACGGGACGATGGAAGATGAGGGTCACAAAAGGAGAGCGGCGGGTTCATACGATGACTCGAGGAGTAGATCACCGCCAGTCGCTAAAGGAGACCAGCGTCAGCCCACAGACGTTAATCAAACATGATGATGCGAAGACAGGCATCTGACTGACGCGAGAGCAAGTACCCAGAGCACAGAGATTCGTCCTGACGAAGTCTCGGAGACATGCGGAGTTGTTCAACTTGCGTACAAAGTCACCACGGACCAGGTCAACCCTTGAAAGGATATCAAAGAGGAATAATGACCATTTGTGAAACTACACCGTATAAGACCCCGTCCGGAACTCTACAGCGTCTATAGACCCCGGTCACGGTGAGGAATGTGTCATGCCGGCCGTCATCAGAGAGAGAAGAAAATTCAGGTAAAGAAAATGCCCCCTTGAGGAAGAACACCCCCCAAACAAAGCGACAACAAGGATGTTTATCCGTGCAGAAGTAACGGTTGAGGGAGTGTAGGTCGAAGCCAATAGGTCATCACCGATGGAGGAGAAAGTATGCTCGTTTGAGAGTGGAGAGCGCTAGGCCCAAGAAATAAATCACGGGGTGGGTCGTCGTACCAGAATTCGACTCATTCCCGGAAGCTATAGGTTTGAAGGACATATGAATTCCTGATCCGGATGGGAACACTCCTGAAAAGGTGGATCGACTACGATATATCAAATGGAAGAAGTGACGTCGGATAATGGGAAAAGGAAAAATGCCCTTTGCCGGCTTCCCGAGGGGCCATATGTGACATCGATGTGGGTAATGCGAAAATGATTGCGTAACTAGTACGTAAAATGGCCACCCGATTCAAGGAAAAGTCGGCCGACCTCATTAAGAGGATTTTGTCCGTGAAGATTTTCCATACGTCTAAATCGTCCTGGGCCAGTCCAATTGTCATTACCGTGAAGAAGAATGGGGTGGAAATTAGGTTGTGCATCAACTATCGGTTGGTGAACAACCTGACTTAACTTGTGGTCTACCCCATACCTCTAACAAATGAATCATTATAAACCTGGAGGGAGATTTGTGGTATTGCTCTCTGGATATAGCGAGTGGTTCTTAGATCGTTGGTATTACTGATATAGCGAGACGATTTTTGGCATTTTTTACCCCGCTCGAATTTTTCAGATAATTATGGATGCCAGTTAGGATTTAAAATGCGCCATAGAAATATCAGCGACTATAAAAAGCGCACTGTATGGATTCCTACGAATTACTCCAAGGGCTAAGGCGGACGGGCACACAGATATTTAATGTGGGAGAACCGAATGCGCAATCGGGTTCCTCGACACTGTGTTGGCGGTCGTATATAGATGACATTCTGCACCCCCGGAAATCATGGGACACCGTATGTACAAAAGTGGAATTACTTTGGACGTGTGCGACTACTGCAAATTATCAATCAGCGCATTCAATATCTTGTGAGGAAGCCGGAATGCCGACTACCTCGGACATCGGTTGTCTAGCGGGGGATGGGAGGTCCACCCGAAGGACATTTAATCTCTCGTCGACCTCCCTTTACCGATGACATTGAAGGCTATGCAATCGTTTTTGGGGATCTTAAATTCTTCCAGGAGGTTTACCGAGGATTATGACATATATGCTTCTATCATTACGAATTGAGAGAGGTCAACTTCCACGCACGGTAAAATCACTGGTAGAAAAGAGGACCATACATTTGACGATGAAGAAGAGGAAGAAAAGTGAGCCCGCGTCCAAGTCTCCTTCGCTATGCAAAATAAAAAGATTGCTACAGCACCGATTTTACGCCATTTTGACCCAGTCAAAGCGGCTTTAATTATTTCCTATCGAGCGGGTGGACCGTCTCTACATCGCTGTTTCAAGCTTATATAGACCTGCTCATGCCATTGATGTTTGCAAGTCGGACTTTCAAGTCTAATGATTTAAATTACAGCACTGTAAAAATTGTTAGCTTTGTTGAGAATATCGGAAATTTGTTATACCACGTTAAGCGTTCAGCCCATCAAAGTATTCACCGGACATTCGGCATTGAATGACTTGGTTAGTCAAGTCGGTTGGTTTGCAGGAATGATTAGAAAATGGACCGCCCTCTTACCTCAGTGGATCTTGGATATCGTGAAGTGTAAAAAGGCAAAGGTTCGGTGCTGGAGGCGTTGGCGGCCAGCATTACCCCTCGAGAGAATGTGGACTCTTTTTTGTCGTCGATCGCATGGAAAAAAGCAGGCACGGCAAGTAGGCGACCTGCCTACCCCACATTGAAATGCGATAAAGCACTATTCTTAATGCGTTTTGATTGTTCAGCCCGTGTGAAATAGGGAGGTGGTACTGTAGCGCAATCTTGTGGAGACTCCCAGGATGGACCAATGGCGAAGCCGCCTTTAAGTCCCTCGACACGTCTCCGGTGAACGAGACAGAACATGAAGGCATGAAACTGGATTTTAACGTGTAAAAATTGTGGAACAGAGACGATTGACTATTTGTGAAGATTCTAATTTATTGGTACGGCACATGCGTGAAGATATCGGATGTGAGGCCTTAGGTGTATCGCCGCTACTAGCCAGGGCGTTAAATGATCTTTAGTCGTAGCCATCCCACGTCATTGGACATGTGAAGCGGACTTGGAACGAGAGTGCATACCAATTATCCAGCACGGCCTTGCAACAACAGAAAGAGGTCACGCCGACACCAGAATCAAATCGACCAGATTTAGAAGCAATCAAATGATTGCCAGAGTTGCTGGTTATTCAAGACCAGAGCCCTTCTGCGAAAATCTTGCAGTGACGGGGTCGAGGTCTCCCAATAGTATCTCTAAGGATACCAGGCAAGGTAAAGTGGTATAAAGACTCAAACGAATTCAGAAATCACAGGAAATACTGAGCTTGATACGATATTTGAAGTCAAATTTGATTAAAGATTAAGGTAAATTGTCTATGGACTCGGTTAGTGTTTGCAGAGAAATGTCAGGGGGTTACGAAATATGCAAATATGAAATATTGGTATACTGCCCCACCCCCAGAGACGAGGGAGACGGTAGGGACATAATGGTCAGGTTGGTGATACGGGAAAGTCTACATACCGGCTTCTTATATCACTATCACACGAGCCTGGAATGGGGCCACCATGGGGCCGGACGTACTTATCAACGGATGCGACGGCACCGTTACTGGAGAGGTCTATGTCGAAATGTGCAGCGGTATGTCGGGTCCTGTACGCATTGCTAGACCGGGAAAGGCGGACTTACCGTGCAGGGGAAGATCCTTGGGAATGTCAAAAGGACCATTCCGTCCAGGGTATCGCGATGGTCCACATTCCGCCTCTTTCAAAGTCACACAAATAAAATACAGAGTTGTCAATCTGGGTTGACTAATTCATTGGGTTTGTCACGGCCAAAGATAGTGCGTTGCGGACAGCCCAGACGGTATACGAAGGTTACGAAGAGCGTGTTCCCTTTCTTTTTATGTGAATTGGGGAGATTTGTCATGATCGCGAACCGGGACTAATGTCAGACTTCTTACGTTCGTTCAGCCGTTTGGTAGTCGAACGTCAACAAGTGACAATGACCTACCGATCTCAAGCCAATTGTACTGCGGAGAGGATGGTGCAGACACTGGACAGGTCGATCAAGTCGTATGTCATCGACGTAGACGAACGTGGTAGGAAAGAGCATGCACAACGATTAAAGTTTGCGAATAATACCGCTCAAGATCGAGTAAGGAAGGAGACCCGGTTATCTTTTTTGTCGACGGTTGGGATGCCAAGTCTACTTTTGAAGTCACACTACCCGTAGTGAATGTGAGACGTCGAGAGTCTGTGCCTCGGAGGTAAAGACATCACATACGGAGTCAGTATCGAAGAGCTAGGGAGCAGGTGAACGAGAATATACGGGAAGCGAGTCGGTCTCCTTAATAGGTTGACCCTAGTCCCTTACAAGTAGGACTTTAGTCGCTAGTTGATAGACACGGATCTCTCGTTGGCAGACCTGGTCTCTCAAGGATAGACCAGAGTTCCTTACGGGTAGACCTACGTTTCGGAAGTGGATCTGGGTAGGTCGAAGCCAAGCTAAAACTGACCAATTTGGATGTGGACGAAGAACGATCCAGGGTGTGATAGGAAGTGCAGGCAAGAAGAGAGGAAAAGAAAAACGGAAGAAGTCAATTTATTTAAGCCTATTAAATCTGAGAAGATGGAACGAACTTGTTCTTAATGCGAGGCACCAAGGTGCTAGGATGAGGCTCTGAACATAGCCATACTGCGTGAGCCACGGTGACGCAGAGTCGGAGATATGGAGAGCGTCAAACAGGTCAACCGGGTCTGAATCTTCCTCAAGTCCAGGATACCAGTACACCACGAATAAAGACGCGAAAGATGGCGAAATAATGGGTCTAGGAAGATGTCGAGGTCGCATTGATACTTATTTATTCCGTGGAAGATCAGACCGGCCACCCTACGTCACGCTTGACCCGCCGGCCTTCATCGTTTCTTCCTGGCGATGAAGTAGGAGGCGAGGAGGGCATTAATACGCTTTTGATCCTTGGATACCAACAGGCATTCCGTCGCTTACCAATATGCCTGGCTCTGAGTTTCATCTAACGGCTCTTTACCCAGGATTGATGTACTGGTGTGTTTGCAGGATACGCCTGACCCAACGAGACTTGCGTGGACGTCTCCATAATCCCTGTGACTCGTCACCGGGCGTTCGCGTGAACCTGGTGTGCGATGCCCGTGCACCTTCTTCCGTTCGTGCCAAACAACGACAACGTTCCTACGGTCATCCTCACGCCACTTTCACTTCAAATCTTTGCTGCTTTGCAATCATCCACTTGCTCGGAGACGCTTCCGTTCGAAGATGTTCGACCGTGGGCTCGCTATGCACAATGTACGACCACTTGGAAGCTGTTGTGCGTCGCGCATTGTCATCACTCTTCTACAGTATTTGGGCCAGTTCTCGTGAGACGAGACCGTCCTGAAATCAGTGACTGAGTCCTATCGATGGACGTCTATGGACAGTAGTGCACAACGAAATGTGACGGTCGGTCGACCAGCAGACAAACGGCTGCGAGCGAAGATCAGTCGGAATGCAGAAGCGCTCGACACTGACGTCTACGTCTCTTTACGTTGCCATCATTGACGCCACGCACCGTAAAAAAACGAGCACAACAAATTACAATCTCGACATGTCCATTCAAAAGCTCGTAGGCAGCACCCTCGCTGTTACGCACCGTTCGAGCCCAAAGAACTGTGGCTGCACGTCGTCTACATGATGAAAAGACATGACCGTAGCCTGTCGTTCTGCGCGACCACAGGGTGACAACAGTCGTGACGGACAGCCATCGAACTCTCACTGACGTCTTGTGTACGAAAACGACCGTCGTAACAAAGGACGACGCCGAGTCCTGTTGGTCCAGTCTCCCGATCCACAGCCACAAACCATCCCATATGGATCGAGTCATGCCGACATCTGCTTCAGTGCGACGACCTTCAACTTCCGCCATACGGGTGGCAAACATCGTGACGGCAAATGCTACAATGCTCTCTTGTCCCGCCAGAGACTTTGCTCGTGTAACTAACAGCAACACCAAGTGCCCCTCCCCACCAACAGTCGACGCCGAGTCACCACAATAGTCTTCATTCTCGAACTTCCTTGCTCGTTCCGATCAAGTCTCGAAACGACCAAGCGACCTCAACGTGCGACTGCCTACGATCGACATGCCATCACTGCGCGCGATCACTGCTTCTCTTCTCGGTCTGTTCTTGCTGACTATATCGAGCGCTACCGACGCAGCTCAACGCCAGTCGGATGGAACCCCACAGCATGTGCGCGATGACGAAGTAACGGCAGCTACGCCCGCCCAAACCGCGCAGCTCCTTTCGGCCTTGCAAGTGTACGGTACCAAGAACAAATGGTCGGTATGCGTCTTCACGTCCAATGCTCCTGTGAAGAAGGGCAACGCTTACGCCTACTTCATGGTCGGGTGCCAGGTCGACGAGGCCTTTGCGGGTGCTTGTCCCGACCTGTATACCTTTCCCAAATGTGGCAACTACACGGTCGTTGTCTCGAGTCCGGAGTCGAAGAAACCCAAGGTGAAATCGGTCACGGTGGTAAATCTGATGTAAGCGCTCGCTCGATCACGACTCAGAGCAGCTTGAGAGATCGTCAATGCTCGTCGTCCTCGGATCACCCGCAGACGTTTACGTGTGTGTATGTATGTATGTAGTAGACCCGTAATCGAAAATACACGATTCCTGCAGTCTGACGACTTTCGTTTTCTTCTGTATGGCTGCGAAACGCCTTACCTCAACGCATGGACGTGCTTTCACGAGTGGCGCAATGCACTGCTTCTTATGACGCATAAAGTACCAGGGATTGATGTACTGGTGTGTTTGCAGGATACGCCTGACCCAACGAGACTTGCGTGGACGTCTCCATAATCCCTGTGACTCGTCACCGGGCGTTCGCGTGAACCTGGTGTGCGATGCCCGTGCACCTTCTTCCGTTCGTGCCAAACAACGACAACGTTCCTACGGTCATCCTGACGCCACTTTCACTTCAAACCTTTGCTGCTTTGCAATCATCCACTTGCTCGGAGACGCTTCCGTTCGAAGATGTTCGACCGTGGGCTCGCTATGCACAATGTACGACCACTTGGAAGCTGTTGTGCGTCGCGCATTGCCATCACTCTTCTACAGTATTTGGGTCGGTTCTCGTGAGACGAGACCGTCCTGAAATCAGTGACTGAGTCCTATCGATGGACGTCTATGGACAGTACTGCACAACGAAATGTGACGGTCGGTCGACCAGCAGACAAACGGCTGCGAGCGAAGATCAGTCGGAATGCAGAAGCGCTCGACACTGACGTCTACGTCTCTTTACGTTGCCATCATTGACGCCACGCACCGTAAAAAACGAGCACAACAAATTACAATCTCGACATGTCCATTCAAAAGCTCGTAGGCAGCACCCTCGCTGTTCCGCACCGTTCGAGCCCAAAGAACTGTGGCTGCACGTCGTCTACATGATGGAAAGACATGACCGTAGCCTGTCGTTCTGCGCGACCACAGGGTGACAACAGTCGTGACGGACAGCCATCGAACTCTCACTGACGTCTTGTGTACGAAAACGACCGTCGTAACAAAGGACGACGCCGAGTCCTGTTGGTCCAGTCTCCCGATCCACAGCCACAAACCATCCCATATGGATCGAGTCATGCCGACATCTGCTTCAGTGCGACGACCTTCAACTTCCGCCATACGGGTGGCAAACATCGTGACGGCAAATGCTACAATGCTCTCTTGTCCCGCCAGAGACTTTGCTCTTGTAACTAACAGCAACACCAAGTGCCCCTCCCCACCAACAGTCGACGCCGAGTCACCACAATAGTCTTCATTCTCGAACTTCCTTGCTCGTTCCGATCAAGTCTCGAAACGACCAAGCGACCTCAACGTGCGACTGCCTACGATCGACATGCCATCACTGCGCGCGATCACTGCTTCTCTTCTCGGTCTGTTCTTGCTGACCATATCGAGCGCTACCGACGCAGCTCAACGCCAGTCGGATGGAACCCCACAGCATGTGCGCGATGACGAAGTAACGGCAGCTACGCCCGCCCAAACCGCGCAGCTCCTTTCGGCCTTGCAAGTGTACGGTACCAAGAACAAATGGTCGGTATGCGTCTTCACGTCCAATGCTCCTGTGAAGAAGGGCAACGCTTACGCCTACTTCATGGTCGGGTGCCAGGTCGACGAGGCCTTTGCGGGTGCTTGTCCCGACCTGTATACCTTTCCCAAATGTGGCAACTACACGGTCGTTGTCTCGAGTCCGGAGTCGAAGAAACCCAAGGTGAAATCGGTCACGGTGGTAAATCTGATGTAAGCGCTCGCTCGATCACGACTCAGAGCAGCTTGAGAGATCGTCAATGCTCGTCGTCCTCGGATCACCCGCAGACGTTTACGTGTGTGTGTATGTATGTAGTAGACCCGTAATCGAAAATACACGATTCCTGCAGTCTGACGACTTTCGTTTTCTTCTGTATGGCTGAGAAACGCCTTACCTCAACGCACGGACGTGCTTTCACGAGTGGCGCAATGCACGGTTTGTTATGACTCACAAAGTACCAGGGATTGATGTACTGGTGTGTTTGCAGGATACACCTGACCCAACGAGACTTGCGTGGACGTCTCCATAATCCCTGTGACTCGTCACTGGGCGTTCGCGTCAACCTGGTGTGCAATGCCCGTGCACCTTCTTCCGTTCGTGCCAAACAACGACAACGTTCCTACGGTCATCCTGACGCCACTTTCACTTCAAACCTTTGCTGCTTTGCAATCATCCACTTGCTCGGAGACGCTTCCGTTCGAAGATGTTCGACCGTGGGCTCGCTATGCACAATGTACGACCACTTGGAAGCTGTTGTGCGTCGCGCATTGTCATCACTCTTCTACAGTATTTGGGTCGGTTCTCGTGAGACGAGACCGTCCTGAAATCAGTGACTGAGTCCTATCGATGGACGTCTATGGACAGTACTGCACAACGAAATGTGACGGTCGGTCGACCAGCAGACAAACGGCTGCGAGCGAAGATCAGTCGGAATGCAGATGCGCTCGACACTGACGTCTACGTCTCTTTACGTTGCCATCATTGACGCCACGCACCGTAAAAAACAAGCACAACAAATTACAATCTCGACATGTCCATTCAAAAGCTCGTAGGCAGCACCCTCGCTGTTCCGCACCGTTCGAGCCCAAAGAACTGTGGCTGCACGTCGTCTACATGATGGAAAGACATGACCGTAGCCTGTCGTTCTGCGCGACCACAGGGTGACAACAGTCGTGACGGACAGCCATCGAACTCTCACTGACGTCTTGTGTACGAAAACGACCGTCGTAACAAAGGACGCCGCCGAGTCCTGTTGGTCCAGTCTCCCGATCCACAGCCACAAACCATCCCATATGGATCGAGTCACGCCGACATCTGCTTCAGTGTGACGACCTTCAACTTCCGCCATACGGGTGGCAAACATCGTGACGGCAAATGCTACAATGCTCTCTTGTCCCGCCAGAGACTTTGCTCTTGTAACTAACAGCAACACCAAGTGCCCCTCCCCACCAACAGTCGACGCCGAGTCGCCACAACAGTCTTCATTCTCGAACTTCCTTGCTCGTTCCGATCAAGTCTCGAAACGACCAAGCGACCTCAACGTGCGACTGCCTACGATCGACATGCCATCACTGCGCGCGATCACTACGTTGCCATCATTGACGCCACGCACCGTAAAAAACGAGCACAACAAATTACAATCTCGACATGTCCATTCAAAAGCTCGTAGGCAGCACCCTCGCTGTTCCGCACCGTTCGAGCCCAAAGAACTGTGGCTGCACGTCGTCTACATGATGGAAAGACATGACCGTAGCCTGTCGTTCTGCGCGACCACAGGGTGACAACAGTCGTGACGGACAGCCATCGAACTCTCACTGACGTCTTGTGTACGAAAACGACCGTCGTAACAAAGGACGCCGCCGAGTCCTGTTGGTCCAGTCTCCCGATCCACAGCCACAAACCATCCCATATGGATCGAGTCACGCCGACATCTGCTTCAGTGTGACGACCTTCAACTTCCGCCATACGGGTGGCAAACATCGTGACGGCAAATGCTACAATGCTCTCTTGTCCCGCCAGAGACTTTGCTCTTGTAACTAACAGCAACACCAAGTGCCCCTCCCCACCAACAGTCGACGCCGAGTCACCACAATAGTCTTCATTCTCGAACTTCCTTGCTCGTTCCGATCAAGTCTCGAAACGACCAAGCGACCTCAACGTGCGACTGCCTACGATCGACATGCCATCACTGCGCGCGATCACTACTTCTCTTCTCGGTCTGTTCTTGCTGACCATATCGAGCGCTACCGACGCAGCTCAACGCCAGTCGGATGGAACCCCACAGCATGTACGCGATGACGAAGTAACGGCAGCTACGCCCGCCCAAACCGCGCAGCTCCTTTCGGCCTTGCAAGTGTACGGTACCAAGAACAAATGGTCGGTATGCGTCTTCACGTCCAATGCTCCTGTGAAGAAGGGCAACGCTTACGCCTACTTCATGGTCGGGTGCCAGGTCGACGAGGCCTTTGCGGGTGCTTGTCCCGACCTGTATACCTTTCCCAAATGTGGCAACTACACGGTCGTTGTCTCGAGTCCGGAGTCGAAGAAACCCAAGGTGAAATCGGTCACGGTGGTAAATCTGATGTAAGCGCTCGCTCGATCACGACTCAGAGCAGCTTGAGAGATCGTCAATGCTCGTCGTCCTCGGATCACCCGCAGACGTTTACGTGTGTGTATGTATGTATGTAGTAGACCCGTAATCGAAAATACACGATTCCTGCAGTCTGACGACTTTCGTTTTCTTCTGTATGGCTGCGAAACGCCTTACCTCAACGCACGGACGTGCTTTCACGAGTGGCGCAATGCACGGTTTGTTATGACTCACAAAGTACCAGGGATTGATGTACTGGTGTGTTTGCAGGATACACCTGACCCAACGAGACTTGCGTGGACGTCTCCATAATCCCTGTGACTCGTCACTGGGCGTTCGCGTCAACCTGGTGTGCAATGCCCGTGCACCTTCTTCCGTTCGTGCCAAACAACGACAACGTTCCTACGGTCATCCTGACGCCACTTTCACTTCAAACCTTTGCTGCTTTGCAATCATCCACTTGCTCGGAGACGCTTCCGTTCGAAGATGTTCGACCGTGGGCTCGCTATGCACAATGTACGACCACTTGGAAGCTGTTGTGCGTCGCGCATTGTCATCACTCTTCTACAGTATTTGGGTCGGTTCTCGTGAGACGAGACCGTCCTGAAATCAGTGACTGAGTCCTATCGATGGACGTCTATGGACAGTACTGCACAACGAAATGTGACGGTCGGTCGACCAGCAGACAAACGGCTGCGAGCGAAGATCAGTCGGAATGCAGATGCGCTCGACACTGACGTCTACGTCTCTTTACGTTGCCATCATTGACGCCACGCACCGTAAAAAACAAGCACAACAAATTACAATCTCGACATGTCCATTCAAAAGCTCGTAGGCAGCACCCTCGCTGTTCCGCACCGTTCGAGCCCAAAGAACTGTGGCTGCACGTCGTCTACATGATGGAAAGACATGACCGTAGCCTGTCGTTCTGCGCGACCACAGGGTGACAACAGTCGTGACGGACAGCCATCGAACTCTCACTGACGTCTTGTGTACGAAAACGACCGTCGTAACAAAGGACGACGCCGAGTCCTGTTGGTCCAGTCTCCCGATCCACAGCCACAAACCATCCCATATGGATCGAGTCATGCCGACATCTGCTTCAGTGCGACGACCTTCAACTTCCGCCATACGGGTGGCAAACATCGTGACGGCAAATGCTACAATGCTCTCTTGTCCCGCCAGAGACTTTGCTCTTGTAACTAACAGCAACACCAAGTGCCCCTCCCCACCAACAGTCGACGCCGAGTCGCCACAACAGTCTTCATTCTCGAACTTCCTTGCTCGTTCCGATCAAGTCTCGAAACGACCAAGCGACCTCAACGTGCGACTGCCTACGATCGACATGCCATCACTGCGCGCGATCACTACTTCTCTTCTCGGTCTGTTCTTGCTGACCATATCGAGCGCTACCGACGCAGCTCAACGCCAGTCGGATGGAACCCCACAGCATGTACGCGATGACGAAGTAACGGCAGCTACGCCCGCCCAAACCGCGCAGCTCCTTTCGGCCTTGCAAGTGTACGGTACCAAGAACAAATGGTCGGTATGCGTCTTCACGTCCAATGCTCCTGTGAAGAAGGGCAACGCTTACGCCTACTTCATGGTCGGGTGCCAGGTCGACGAGACCTTTGCGGGTGCTTGTCCCGACCTGTATACCTTTCCCAAATGTGGCAACTACACGGTCGTTGTCTCGAGTCCGGAGTCGAAGAAACCCAAGGTGAAATCGGTCACGGTGGTAAATCTGATGTAAGCGCTCGCTCGATCACGACTCAGAGCAGCTTGAGAGATCGTCAATGCTCGTCGTCCTCGGATCACCCGCAGACGTTTACGTGTGTGTGTATGTATGTAGTAGACCCGTAATCGAAAATACACGATTCCTGCAGTCTGACGACTTTCGTTTTCTTCTGTATGGCTGAGAAACGCCTTACCTCAACGCACGGACGTGCTTTCACGAGTGGCGCAATGCACGGTTTGTTATGACTCACAAAGTACCAGGGATTGATGTACTGGTGTGTTTGCAGGATACACCTGACCCAACGAGACTTGCGTGGACGTCTCCATAATCCCTGTGACTCGTCACTGGGCGTTCGCGTCAACCTGGTGTGCAATGCCCGTGCACCTTCTTCCGTTCGTGCCAAACAACGACAACGTTCCTACGGTCATCCTGACGCCACTTTCACTTCAAACCTTTGCTGCTTTGCAATCATCCACTTGCTCGGAGACGCTTCCGTTCGAAGATGTTCGACCGTGGGCTCGCTATGCACAATGTACGACCACTTGGAAGCTGTTGTGCGTCGCGCATTGTCATCACTCTTCTACAGTATTTGGGTCGGTTCTCGTGAGACGAGACCGTCCTGAAATCAGTGACTGAGTCCTATCGATGGACGTCTATGGACAGTACTGCACAACGAAATGTGACGGTCGGTCGACCAGCAGACAAACGGCTGCGAGCGAAGATCAGTCGGAATGCAGATGCGCTCGACACTGACGTCTACGTCTCTTTACGTTGCCATCATTGACGCCACGCACCGTAAAAAACAAGCACAACAAATTACAATCTCGACATGTCCATTCAAAAGCTCGTAGGCAGCACCCTCGCTGTTCCGCACCGTTCGAGCCCAAAGAACTGTGGCTGCACGTCGTCTACATGATGGAAAGACATGACCGTAGCCTGTCGTTCTGCGCGACCACAGGGTGACAACAGTCGTGACGGACAGCCATCGAACTCTCACTGACGTCTTGTGTACGAAAACGACCGTCGTAACAAAGGACGCCGCCGAGTCCTGTTGGTCCAGTCTCCCGATCCACAGCCACAAACCATCCCATATGGATCGAGTCATGCCGACATCTGCTTCAGTGCGACGACCTTCAACTTCCGCCATACGGGTGGCAAACATCGTGACGGCAAATGCTACAATGCTCTCTTGTCCCGCCAGAGACTTTGCTCTTGTAACTAACAGCAACACCAAGTGCCCCTCCCCACCAACAGTCGACGCCGAGTCGCCACAACAGTCTTCATTCTCGAACTTCCTTGCTCGTTCCGATCAAGTCTCGAAACGACCAAGCGACCTCAACGTGCGACTGCCTACGATCGACATGCCATCACTGCGCGCGATCACTACTTCTCTTCTCGGTCTGTTCTTGCTGACCATATCGAGCGCTACCGACGCAGCTCAACGCCAGTCGGATGGAACCCCACAGCATGTACGCGATGACGAAGTAACGGCAGCTACGCCCGCCCAAACCGCGCAGCTCCTTTCGGCCTTGCAAGTGTACGGTACCAAGAACAAATGGTCGGTATGCGTCTTCACGTCCAATGCTCCTGTGAAGAAGGGCAACGCTTACGCCTACTTCATGGTCGGGTGCCAGGTCGACGAGACCTTTGCGGGTGCTTGTCCCGACCTGTATACCTTTCCCAAATGTGGCAACTACACGGTCGTTGTCTCGAGTCCGGAGTCGAAGAAACCCAAGGTGAAATCGGTCACGGTGGTAAATCTGATGTAAGCGCTCGCTCGATCACGACTCAGAGCAGCTTGAGAGATCGTCAATGCTCGTCGTCCTCGGATCACCCGCAGACGTTTACGTGTGTGTGTATGTATGTAGTAGACCCGTAATCGAAAATACACGATTCCTGCAGTCTGACGACTTTCGTTTTCTTCTGTATGGCTGCGAAACGCCTTACCTCAACGCACGGACGTGCTTTCACGAGTGGCGCAATGCACGGTTTGTTATGACTCACAAAGTACCAGGGATTGATGTACTGGTGTGTTTGCAGGATACACCTGACCCAACGAGACTTGCGTGGACGTCTCCATAATCCCTGTGACTCGTCACTGGGCGTTCGCGTCAACCTGGTGTGCAATGCCCGTGCACCTTCTTCCGTTCGTGCCAAACAACGACAACGTTCCTACGGTCATCCTGACGCCACTTTCACTTCAAACCTTTGCTGCTTTGCAATCATCCACTTGCTCGGAGACGCTTCCGTTCGAAGATGTTCGACCGTGGGCTCGCTATGCACAATGTACGACCACTTGGAAGCTGTTGTGCGTCGCGCATTGTCATCACTCTTCTACAGTATTTGGGTCGGTTCTCGTGAGACGAGACCGTCCTGAAATCAGTGACTGAGTCCTATCGATGGACGTCTATGGACAGTAGTGCACAACGAAATGTGACGGTCGGTCGACCAGCAGACAAACGGCTGCGAGCGAAGATCAGTCGGAATGCAGAAGCGCTCGACACTGACGTCTACGTCTCTTTACGTTGCCATCATTGACGCCACGCATCGTAAAAAACGAGCACAACAAATTACAATCTCGACATGTCCATTCAAAAGCTCGCAAGGCAGCACCGCTCTCTGACTTCTCTTCATTTTTGGGGCTGCCAATTTTTGTAATTTCACAAACAATGGGCTCAAAATACACAGGCTAACAAACACCTATGTGCAGTCAACCTTTGTGTGCTATAGTCCCCGTGCAGAAGTTCGTGACAGTGAACACTTTTGTACAAGTGATCATTCGTCCGTCGTAACACGACAGACTACATGCATGGTCTCTTCCCCGACATCTGATTCAATAGTTCGCGCAGACGCTCTTACTTCGGAGGAAGAGCACATGACACACGCAGCTTCATCCCGTTGAACTCCTTCCCATCCAGATCTTCGACAGCTCGGTTCATATCCTCCGCACTGCGTAACGTCACGAAACCGAACCCACGAGCCGTGATGCGCACGGTGTCGTACCCCAAATACTGGAACAAAAACGAGAGTTCTTCGCGTGAGGTGCCTTGCGGAAGGTTACCCACGTATACTTCATGCGGGTGAGGGGCAGGATGAAATCGATCGCCGCTTTTACCAGAGTTGCCGCCGCGATGGCCTCCTCGCTCACCGTCAAAATTCTGCCCTCGATACCCGCCATTGACTCCACGTCGACGGGTATCCAGATTAGGCGGCACCTCTGCGTGTCCCCACCATACGCTGTGAACGATGACACCCTCTGGATTTCCATTTTCATCTCGAGTAGGAACGGTAAGTACGAGGTTCTCGCCTTCACGGACAGGCACGCGGTGCTTGAACTCATCTTGGAAGATTTCTTCGATAAACACGAGAAAGCCGGTCGGAATGACTGTCAAGCGCAGTGTGAACGGCTCGCCGAACGTCAATGGGCAGCGTGGCAATGGCTGTGAACATCCCCACCGTCCATCAATGTTGCTGTTCTGATTGATCTGTCCTCCTCGCTGACGACGGGGGTTAAAGTGGTACAACACCGTGCCAGGATACGGCGCGCCACTGAGCATACTCGCTTGAGTACTGACGTTAAAACAGCAACGGGACGATCTTGCTGGCAACGTGGCATGGATAATTAGCGTATTGTTCGTCGCAAACGCCACTTCAGGAAGCACGAGATCCAATGGTGTTCCGGTTGCCGAGTCCCAGTCGTCACTTTTGAGGAAACTTTCCAGTGGCAATTGAATCGACGAGCGTCCTCCCTGGATCTTAATCTCCCCTGGCTTGTCACTCTTGCTGCTCCTCGGTCTCTTGACACTCGGCACGCCACCCACCACACTGCCCGATCCTCCTCGTAGAATGTCCGTCAACGGGTTCGTCCGCTTGACCGCTGCCGACTGCACAGTCGTCCTCGTTCCGCCAGCTTTCTTGGCCATCAAGAGCTTCGCGCGTTCCACTGCTGATGCTGCAACCGGCTTTGGCGCGCCCATTGACATCGGACCTGTGCTTGTCATCGCGCCCGTTCCGCCAGTACTTACCCCTCCTCCTCCGCCTATTGCCGTTGAAGACGAGCGCTGGGCCAGGAAACTCTGCACGCGCGCTCGGTCCGACGAGATCTGCCGCTTGGGCGTCGCCATCGACGGCGGCGGGGCGCCCCCCAAGACCGCACTCTTTCCAGTCAGCGTCAACGAGCTCTTGCGGCCCAGTGGCGCGGCCGGCGACGCGCTGGGGGACGCAGTTGAACTCGCTCCAGCCGCTCCAGTCAAAGCCGAGTGACTGCCGTGCGGGCGGTAGCTCGAGGCTGCGCTGGCGTCCCCTGCCGACTGGAACAGCTGGAGCAGCAGGATCTCTTGGGCCGTGAGGTACTTGTGGTCGAACGCCTCGAGCTGCAGGTGCTGCTGGAGCTCATTGTGGCCGTCGTCGCTCTTGCCCGGCTCGAGCACGGGTCGGGCTTGGGGGGTGGTCATCCTGGACGCGATATGACCAATCGGGGGCTCGAGCGCACGACATATCCCATGTGACCGCGATATGATGCTGCGGACGGTGGTGTGGTCAACACCATCGAGAAGCCCATTATTGTGGGTCGACACTCGGTCGAGATGCAGCTCGGACGTCGGGGCGCGCTCCTGCTATGCGCAATGACTGCGATGGGCGAGGACGGCCCCGCACGGGTGCGGGACGATCTGATAGCTGCGAAAGCGGAGGCGATGCAGCTGAGGCTCGTGGAGGTGGAGCAGCAGCTCGAGACGGCGCAGCAGGTCGCGGGCCTTTTCGTACTCGAGGACGCACAGCTGGAGTTGGTCGTGCTCGAGACACAAGCGACGGTGCAAGTGGCTCGAGATGAGGTGCAGCAGCTGATCGACGATGCAATGGAAGAGGTCGAGAGGCTGCAGCAGATGGCGGTGGAGAACGTGACGAGGTGGCAGAAGACGCTGCAGGAGTTGAAACACGCGACGCGGAAGAATTACGAGATGTTACAAGAGATCGAGAGTGAGCGCGCGGAAGTTGCGCGATTGGAGACAGCAGTGAGGGCTCAAACGACGCAGAAGGAGAAGAGCGATGAGGAAGCGGTGAGTGGTACGGTACAGGAACCAGAGCGGCAGCAGGAACAGGAAATGGAAAGACAACTGGATACTTCCAGCAATGAACCAGCCAGAGAACAGGGCATGGAGCGGAAGACGCCGGAACCGTTTGACAAAGAGTTGGAACATCGTCGAAACTCCGAAGCAATCCGCGAGTTGGACGCTCGATATTCGGAAGGCGCAGGACATAGATCGGGCGTGTTGGGGTTTCTGGGTCGGTATGCTTCCGCGGAACGATATGTGATAAAAGCAGTCGTAACGTTGTATCGGCAATTGGTGCTTCCGGTGGCGGTCATCATAGGCTTCTTTTTCGTCTTGACAATGGTCATTGGGAGATACAAAGTGATGCAGCATACGCGACGCAATCAACGAGTCATGTACTCGGGATACCCGAAAGGTGTCCGCACAAAGCCAAAGCAACAAAGCGAGTCTGATTTGGATGATGCAGCTGATCGACCACTCCTGCACCGCTAGCGTCGTGGTGCTAAGATTTGGACTGGAAACTAAGCTGTGCTCGCAAGTGCACATTATAGCCGCTGAAGGTACACCGAATGCAGAAATGACGAAGATGCCTGTAGTGCATCGATTTTGAACGGTGCTGACTTTACAGTGAAGTGTAAGCTTTCGTGATGGATACCAAGCTTAGCTATACAAAATGATGACACGAGTCAAGCGTGTTGGTGGTATATGCACGGCCTGGTGAGTGTGCACTGACAAGCTGTTGAGCTGACCTTTTCGACATGGAAGAAGCAAACGAATGCGCAAGCCAGCTGCAGTCAAGACGCAACTTTGGACATTGTCGGCTACGACTTTGCCCCACATGAAGTAATGGCTCGGCACAGCAAGTGGTGTTTTGACTTGCTCACCTCTGTAACATCTATTCTTTCTACCTGTTATCCTGTCCATACTGCTAAAATACGTTGGTTTCTGTAACGGGGTTCCACGTCGGTTGGTAACCGGCATAACCGTCGTGGTTCACACCAGGGACGAGACCCCATTGAAAATGATATTAGAACACCTTATCAGCTGTTGGGGCCGACGTGTGTCAGCCACCAAATACATGATCTATAAAAAGGTACTAATTAGAGCATTAGTGTCTTGATTAGGTACGTTTAGTCTAAGGTGTTCTTTTACATAAAAACAAAACAAAGTTCAGTTCCCCTTTTGATTTATTAGAGGCACGTGCCTTCGTAGGGGGTCTAAGATTGTAAGGGAGTCAAGTCTCGTTAAGACATAAACTCCTTAGCACACTGTGCAGTCGATTCGCTGAATCGTTAAGGTCCTATGAACAAGGACCTGGAGCTCCAATCTCGTTGACTCGTAGAGTCGTGTTCTTGTAAAGAACAGACTTGCTCGTGAAGCAGAAAGCCTTCCTCTGGATAGGGGCTGTGCTAGCTCCGCTACAGTTTCGACCTCGGCCCTTTAGTGGAGCTGATAGACATTCATAATCTGCTATTGGCTTTTTTTTGCTCGGTTTTCACAACTTTTGTATTTTAGCAAACGCCTTTCAACCATGTGGTCTAGACGAATGTTGTAACGGGGTGAGTCCGTTACATAAAATTGATACGAACCTATCAATTTTTTGGGCATTATCTAAAGAGATAATACTCAATCAACATCACTCGAGAAGAGGTGATGTTAGCGGAATATTACCCCCGAGAGTAATATTCGTGGATGCTCCACTTATTGGTTGATGAAAACGCTACATCAACTAAATTAACCACCAATCGCTTCTGGACGTGCGCAATGGGTGGTGAGCAAGAGACCCATATAGAAGATTGTAGTTTAATATAGTTGGATCAAGATGGAAGATGATTTACAAAAGAAAATAACTATATTAAGTAACAGTTCTACTCTTCCTCAGACAGAGCCTTCGTGTTTTGTTTGCTTCGGTTGCGCTTCCTCGCCACGTGTACGTGACGTCAGGATCACGCAGCTTTTTGTAGAGTCTACACAAGGTCTTTTCAGTCATCTGGCAAGAAGCGTGCCTTGTTACACCTGGGTAGCACTGGGTGGTCCTTACAGCGACCACAGCCACCTCATTTAACATGAACATGTTAGATGACGATGAAAGCTTTCACGCCACGCGTGAAGGCTTTAACCATTTGAGTGACATCGAATGGAGTGCGGTAGGACGTACGAGTTCTACCATAGGAAAAAACGCCATAAGCGCTATGTTGGAGTCTCTTGACAGAGACCAACAACATGCCGCTATAGCCAAGTTCATACAACATGAACTTGACGCGGCGCTAGAAAAGGAAACTTTGCTTCACCAGCAAGGTTCTCAACACGTATACCTGTTGATAGAACAGGGTGATCAACAGACCGAACTGGTAAGACAAGAGTGGGTTCAGTCTGCTGTTCCAGGGCCGATCCATGCGCTTCGACCCGAACCCTTGGAGATTAATGTCTCCAAGATCAAGGCAGTAAAAAAAGACTGCGTGTTGAGATGGCTCGTCGAGCTCGACTGCGCTATCGAGGCTCGTCGCATTGAATGCGATGCGATGAAAGTAATCTTCGCCACGTCCAACTTGGGTGGACTTGCCAAAGCCTGGGCCCTAAATCTCGTGGTTCGTGACCCATATGTGTTTGGGTCGTACGAGAACTTCAAGGCGCGACTCATACAAAATTTTGATCCGATCCCTGCTGAAAATAGGGCATGGTTTGAGCTACTGGACTTGAAGCAGGGTGCGCGTGATATACGCGCTTACTCTTAACACATATGGTACCTCGCAAGCTGCATCGTGTGTAAGCCTGTTGATGAGCAAACACGGGTAGCTGTGTTCATCAAGGGTCTTGCGGATGGTCCCATCAAAATGCACCTGTTGCGTCAGAAAATGGAGACACTTGGCCAAGCAATTTCTGTGGCGAAGCATGAGGAGTTCATCTTGAGGCAATCTCATGCTAACTCGACATCATATCGTCCACACAGACGACAGAAAAGCGGACGTCGAGCACCGTTAGACCTCGTCTACGATGAGAGCGAAAGACCTCGCTCTCATGGTAACAAGTGATTGCAAAGGTGCAATCGCTGTCAGAAGCTAGGGCACTACGCCTATGAGTGTAATGCCCCGCACCCAGTGTCTCGTAGCACTGAGCGTTGTGCTCGACCGTCCGCCAAGAAGGGCCAAGGACGCGTTACGACGTCGCAATAGCGTGACGGATCGTCCGTAAAAGCGGTCTGGCAGTAGGAGCAGTTGACAAGCCAAACCCTTACTTGAAAAGTGCAAACAATGGCACAATGCAAGGATCTGTCTGTCGTTCCACGTCGTTTCTTTTTCCTTAACGGCAGTCTGACTTGCTCACTATCAAAGAACCGTGACTTCATGACACCGAATGTCGACAATCGTTACATGTCGTCTCTGCGATAGCCGATATTTCTTTCTGAGTTTGGGCTATTGCACGTCAAGAGCTTTAACTGCCAGCAACATTCAGGTCATTGCGCATACATCGATTGCACGGGTTACTCGGCCAGACGCATTTTCGCACAAGTCGATAGGTCAAATTCAATACATAATAGAGGTAGGTAGCATAGCTGCTGCAATCAAAAGTCCGCCGCGTCATGGTAAGTGGTAACTTGGAAGCTCCCCCCCCGTCACACGTCCAAGCTGCTGTGACACGTTTGTAACCGGATTGGGCATGTCGTGCGATGCGCTGTAGGGAGTGTCCGACCAAGCTGTTGGTCTTGTGCTTCTGACCGTCAGCGTTACCGCGTACGTCTACTACAGCTTCTGGGTGCTGCTGACGGTATGATCGCTTTTAACACGATCTCCACTCCACGCTCGTTACGGGTGGCTCGAAAGCACCCATGTTGGACTCGCAGCTCTGACAACACTCCTTGTGCCTTTCTTTGTTTGCTATTCTGATTGTTCCAGCCATTTGTTGACCCGAATCACCCTATCCAGCAATTCTTCCTGCCATACCACTACGCCATTAGCATCCCTGCTGTGCTGCTTGTGCTGCTCTTCAGCGGCGCTGCTACTTTCATCGGCATGGTCATGATCAAAAGCCAGAAGAAGAAAAGCGACTAGAAGCGCAGCTTCAAGCTAAACATTTGTCGAACTAGACAAAGAATAGGAAGGCAGAGCGACGTACGAACCCATTGGCGGCCGATTTGGTCCGTCGGCTAAGCGACTGTAAGCAAGCTGTGAATCCTTCGTTTGATCGCCCCTCAACACATCAGCCGCAGCCTTTGAATCTGGATGCATGACAAGCGCACGTCGTCGGACTTTGCGAATTAGAAAGCTTAGATTGCCGAATGTACAGCATGTGACGCGCTGTCACCGAGACGCCTCACTACTGAGCCCTCCTGTGTGGCTGCACGCGGATTCACCACAGCATCAACTTGCTCTCATGTTACTGAGTGGCGCCTCCAGCTGGCGCCGCGAGTGTACTGTCCGGCTGCGACACCATATAGCCCATTCCCTGGATCTGGTTGTAACTAAAGCCCTTGCTCACGAGCTCTTTCACCACTTCATTCGTCTGCTCCTCACGCAGCATCTGTATACCAGATGAAAACAAATACCGTTAGCATCATAGTATGGTCCAAAGCGACAACACAATGTCAGCAAGTGCATGCGAACCTCGATGCTGAGGGGCACAAGCGTCACCAGCAACGTCGTCGAGAGGACCCACAACCATCGGCCAGAAGTCTTCCAGCTCTAGGACACCACCACCGCACAATGAGTAACCAACATCAACCCGGTAAATCCAATAAGCAATGTGACAGCTAAGGTGAACCTTGATCGCAAAGTTGATGCCGCCCTTGACGGGGCCAGACTGACGAATACGGGTCGGCAGATTCAGGAACAGGTTCTACAGCGACAAATCCCGCACGCACACAATGTTGAGTTTTCTGCAGTAGGAAGCTTAGCACACGAGTAGTAGACACACGCACCACGACACCAGCATTGTTGGGTCGTTTCTTTTCCTTCTCGAGTTCGCGCAGAGCCCCGATCGCCGACATGCTTTTTTGCTTCGATATTGTGGCAAACGTTCCTCGCCCTTCAAAACAACCTCTCTTATCGCATACCAGATGCTGTTTACCGGTTTTGTAGGGCCGATCGAAGCTCTTGCAGGATAAGTCCCTCATTGCATTGCCCTTGCCAATCACGTTCAAGCTGCGACGACGCCTTGTCGACAGATTGTTGCACGTTGAATTGCGTGGCAATAGTCGTGAGCGACTTTGCGATCAACGGTGCCAGATTCTCGACCAGGTCGTGATCTTGTCGTTGCTGTGGAGAGCACAAGCGTCCATCGTCGGCGAGTTGCTGCAAAATGCTTTGACAGCAAGTCCGCACCCCATCTGCGTAGCACGCGTCCAATGTGCTCTTCCTCAAGCTGCCATACTTAATCCCTTCTCCGACTGCAGTATCTGCAATACAAATGTCGACAGCTACGACAAGCCGATTGGAGCGGGATTTGTCTGCGTCCTCCCGTTGCATCGTGGCCCGCAACGGCGTGGCAATTAGCTGATTCGCGAGCTTTGAGGAATTTCGCTGGCAGCGAAGCCCAAACTTTTTCCACAGCTTCGCCGTGCAGACGCCTTTGGTGATTCCGCATAGAAAAAAGTCCTCGCCATTGATCAGCGGAGCGTGGTTGGCAAAGCGAAGCAGACTGATCTCCATGTCAGGCTCGGTTCCACCGACTTGCACGTCTCCAAGCATGAGCGCCACACAGCTGATCGAGACCGATTCCCAGTCGTGAACAGCATACACAACATCGTCTGCACTTGCGCCCACGTCAGCAGCAAACCGGTCAATCGGCTCTTCACGGTGCTCGCAGGTGATTGACCTGGATACTTCCCCGACGCTAAAGTCGAACTGCACGCCAAGAAACGGCGGCGCCGTGTACCGCAGACTCTGAAAGTACATGGCTAGTGTCTCGGCGGCGCTCTGTAGGTCCATCATCTGTTCTGGACATGGAACAGATAGACGCACTTCCGTCCCGGAAAAGTGCTGATGCTCCTCGTTGACCACAAACTGCATCACTTGCTTCACGACTGCAGTCTCCTCAGAGTCCGCATCAATGCGGAGCTGCACGTACAAGATCCCGTCGGACTGAGACGTTGTCGCGACCTTTAAACACGCGTCGCTCGCGTGCAATTGACTGTACAGCATGGCGGCCTTGAGCCCTAGTCCTATTGCATCAAACACACCATGAGTAAGTCCACTCACTGTCCATCCACAGCGCAAGATAGACAGAGAGACAGACGGTCCCATCTCTCGAGCCTTCGTCCTCTGCCTCCTCCTCCTCCTCTGTCACAGACGCGCCGACCGCACCGTATTTCCCGCTCGTACGGCCTCCGTGTCCCTCTCTGTCCACCTTTGTCGTCTCGAAAGCGCTGCAGCACAAAAGCTTGACCTGGTGCGCGCGCATGCCCGAGCCCGTGTCTGCGCACACAATGTCAATCGTTTCCCTCTCTTTGTTCAGCGCGACGCGGACCCGGAGGAGCTCGAGCGGCGCGTCGGCCCATACGACGTCGCAGTCTCCGAGGGACTGCGTTGCGTCCAGTGCTAACACACCACACACATACACACACATACACACACATAGACACACGCGAATCAGAGTGCACCCCTCAGTCGCTTGCCTCCCTTTGCGACAGAGAATCACGCCACCGTTCTCAAAGAGCTCCTTGACAGCTTGGACGAGCGCGTCGCGCCGACTGCCAAAGCCCAGCAGCTCGAGGTTGCTCCGGATGAACTGCACCCCGCGGTCCCGACGCTTGCGCCCACTCGGCGGCATGTTGCGCTGCCAGTGCGGACTGGATAGGCAACTAGTGGACTGACCATCACTCTGCTCGGGTTGCAAGTTGAACCTCTCGAACGGCATATGTGCTGCACCCCTCCAACTGCATTCCCACCCCACCCCCGTCATACTCGATCGCATTCATTCCCGTCGCGCGCGCCCGCCCTCATGACGCTCAACGAGCTGCTGACGGACGACCAGTGGCGCAGTGTGATCCACACGACTGCAGGGCTCGGCGCCGGCGCGCTCTCGACGGTGCTCTTGTACCCCCTCGACCTCGTCAAGGTGCGCTACCAGGTGCACGAGAAGTCGACGCACGCCTACCGCTCGCTGGGCCACGCCTTCCGCTCGATCGTCGCCGAAGAGAGTCTGCGCGCTTTGTTCCACGGCATGAGCCCAGCGCTCTACGGCGCCACGCTCTCGTGGGGCATCTACATGCTTGTGTACCAGAACGCCAAGACGCGCTACGCCCGGATGGCGGACGAAGGCTGGATCCAGGGCTCGTGGCAGCACTTTTTCTCTGGCATTGAAGCAGGCATGATCTGCGTGCCGCTCACGAACCCCATTTGGCTCATTAAAGTCCGCATGCAAGTGCAGACGAACCGCAGGATGCACGCGAGTGTGGCTGGGAAAGACGCGGCCAAGAAAGTGGTCGAGAACGTGCGGTATCGAAACGTTACAGGTGCGTCTGGTAGGGGAGAACGGGGGAGACGAAAGTGCCGCGTAGACAAACGCTAAGTGGAACGAGCTGTTGCAATGTTGCAATGCAGATGCTTTCCGCCAGATCGTTGCGGCAGAAGGCGTGTCGGCGCTGTACAAGGGCATGATCCCTGCGCTGTTCCTAACGACGAATGGAGCCATCAAGTTTGTCGCGTACGAGCGACTCAGGAGTCTGTATCAGACGCACTGGAGTGACGAGATGGACGTGATTCCGACGCTGCTGATGGGTGCGGTGGCGCAGTCCATCGCGTCGACAATGACGTACCCGTATCAGGTGGTCAAAGCTCGTCTGCAGCAGGGAGGACCCGTGGCAGACAAGTATACTGGCACGTGGGACTGTACGGTCAAGACGATTCGACACGAAGGATACATTGGGCTGTTCAAGGGCTTGTCGGCGAACATTCTCAAGGTCATGCCGACGGGAGCGATCATCTTTGCTGCGTATGAGCAGATCCAAAGCGCCATGAATGCTATGCTGCTGGACAAGTGATGGATCGATGAAGCATCGTTGACGAGATGGAAGCAATAGAGTCAACGCGACGACACTACCGCATGGACACCAAGCCATGTGGACGTGTGTGAAAAGTCTATACATAGGTTAGAAGATGCACGGAATCTGCTGAACTACAACTAGACCTCGTTCAAGGCACTGGTCTTTACTAAAACAATTCGTCTTCAACGCGGAGGTACTCGCCTATATCTGCTTGGTGCAGCACCACGTAGGCCGTGGGTTCCAAGTCTTTGCACAGCTCGGTGGCCTGGGCAGCGATCCCAAAGCCCAGTGGGATGTCGTTCATGCTAAAGACGACGACACCGGCGTACTGCGGCGTGCCTTCCGTGATGCGACCGAGGCCCGACTTGACCACGTTATTGCCGTACAAGAAGGACATCTCGGAATTGGGCTTGATCCAGACCTTGTACTTGGCGTACTGTGCCATGTAGTCCAAGAACGTGATGCGCAGATGGAACTTCTTGGTCTTCGTGAGCTTTCCCACGGCCGTGCCAATGCTCAGGAGCTCGTCTGTACCCACGTTGGTGGACTGGCGCATGAGCTTCTCGCTGCAGTAGTACACGATGTCTCCGTGCAGACGGAAGCAGTACTTCTCGTCAGGTCGCGTCACGAGGTGCTGCACGTTGCGGCCAATGTACTTGCTGATCTTCTCGAACACTGTCGTCATCTCGTCGTCCGTGAGCGGCCGCATGTTGGTCAAGTGGCTGCAATGTGTCTATCCTCTCGATAGCTCACTCACTCACTGGCTCACTGGCTCCGAGCGACGGAACTGCTCAACCGCATACAGGCGGCTGCTCGCTGGAATTGTAGCCAATCGCAAGATTGGGCGACGTGGATTGGTGGAAATGCTACGAATGGATTGGTTGGTCCATGCTTGCAGCGGCTGTCAGGAGCTCTCATGCACGCCCATTGCTCCTTTTCGCACAGGCTTTTCAAATGGAGGGTAAGATTGAGTCCGTCCAGGTCTTTGGCCGCAAGAAGAATGCCACGGCTGTCGCCTATTGCAAGCGCGGCAACGGTCTCATCAAGGTGAACGGCACGCCCATTGAGCTCGTGGAGCCCGAGATCCTGCGTGTCAAGACCTATGAACCGGTGCTTCTTCTTGGCCAGCAGCGTTTCGCCAACGTACGATGAGCTTCTGTTCTTGTCGATGAAGTGCTCGCTACGCGCGACAGCTTTGGTATTGCCCACACCGGCACGAACGTCCAGAGCGTGAAGCTTTCGAGCCTTCTCTGGTCGATCGACCCATTTCTACGGTATTCGGACCGCTGATCGGCATGGACGACGTTGTGTTGCTCCCTCTGCCCGAGAGGCCTCACGTGTCCACCCACTACGAAGCACAGTAGATGCTGTGAAAGCACCCGCACCACCCAAACAATCTGTGTGCATGCTCTGTTTACTGTCGTGTAAATACCATGCTGTCGCAACTGGCTTGCACTCCCTCGACCTACCCGATGCTTAATGTGGTGCGCTAACGTGGTGCATCCCGAACTTGTAGGTGGACATTCGTATTCGTGTGAAGGGTGGTGGTCACACCGCGCAGATCTATGCCATCCGTCAGGCTATCGCCAAGGCCATTGTCGCCTACTACCAAAAGTGTGAGTTTTTTTGCTACTTGTAGCAGGTAGAAGAGTGGTGTGCGTCAAGACTGACTGACTGTCCTGTGATTGTATATTTGTAGACGTTGACGAGGCTTCCAAGAAAGAGATCAAGGACATCTTGCTCGCCTACGACCGCACGCTGCTGGTCGCGGATCCCCGTCGCTGCGAGGCCAAGAAGTTCGGTGGTGGCAGTGCCCGTGCTCGCTTCCAGAAGTCGTACCGTTAAGTGGGGCTTCGATCGGGCGGCCGCTATTGTTCAGCTGCACATTTGCTTGTTCGTAGCTGGCATGCAGTGTTGTCTGCTCGGTGCTAGTCCAGTAGGAGGAGCCTGTAACTTCTAATGAACGTGCGATAAGTCAGCAGAAGCAATGCGAACCTCAATATTTACCCGATTTGACTGCCATTATTGCACGACGCGTCCTCAATTGACTGTACCGCTTTCCCTAATTTAGGTCGCTCGACTGCCCAGTCATATTCCTCCCATCCACATGACATTAATCCTTCACTTTCATTCCAGTCAGTCAGTCTTCAGTATCGAAAATAAGTTATGGCAGTCACTGGCAAGCGCGGCGTTGGCATCCCGACCATTCTGCTGCACGACGGCGAAGGCACGATCGTGTCCATCGAGATGAAGACTGGGGAGACGTACCGTGGGTTGCTGGACGAGACTGAAGACAATATGAACTGCGTCATGAAGGACGCCGTACGCACGGATATCAATGGCAATACGACTCAAGTGGAGCAAATTTATCTGCGGGGCAGCCAAATCCTCTTCATCGTGTTTCCCGATATATATCCTTTCCACTTACTTGACCAAGTTCGTCGATATTGATGTGCATGTATTGCAATAATGGCAGCTCAGGAGTGGACCCTCCAGTAGCTGCTCAGTCTGGTGGTTGCCTTGACCTTCTAGGGGATGTCTGTCGCTGTACTTGCTCTTTCCTGTTCATTTACAGCACGTTAAAGCACGCGCCGATGTTCAAGCGAGTCAAGATGTGGAAGACACACAAAGGGTCGATACCTACTCTAGGACAAGGAGGAGTTGGAGGTGGCGCCCCGAGAGGCCAAGCTGCAGCGATTATCCGAAAGGGTGAGTGACCTAATGGGCGGCTAACCTCGAGCTCAACTTGCTAGTGTACTGATTTGGCAATTTGTCGTGGTATGTTGTGTTACCACTAGCCCAAGAACGGAGAGGTGGATTCTAAGACGAGCCGCGACGAGAACGTGGGGCTCAGGGTTCCAGAAGAGCGTCGCCAAGAGCTCACCTTGCGACCCGCCAGTCACACAAGCGGGAACTTACTGCGCTTCTTGCTTGGGCTACATGAAAGTTGCCGTCGTTGCCATCAGCGTACGGTGTTGGGAAATCGAAGCTACGTCCGAGTTGAGATAGACGCACGAACGAGTTGGTGAGCGAATAAAACGATGTCGCTCGACAGCAAGCGTGCAATCATCCGTGTTGTATCTGTGGACTCATTTTTGGGCAACGTAGACTGGGCGTCGGAAACCCTTTGACGATGTCTGGCAGACCTCTAGAAGCTCGCAGCTACGGAAGCCAACTGTGTCCACGAGGTATGTTGGAAAGTCCTTGGGTCGTAGCTGGATTTTTGGGTAGTTTGTGGCCGTAACGTCGGATGTGAATTTCCGCTTATGGTACGATTTCCACGGCTGCGGCTCAAGGACGAAACGTCCGCCCGGCGCCAGTAGCTTGTAAATCTTCGCAAATACCCCCTTGAGCCCCTCGTCGCCGTGGAAAAGATGGATCCATTTCGTGACGCTAAAGCTGACAACATGAATCATAGTAAGAATGCCTACCCAACGCACCATCACACACAAATTGTGGTAGGCTTACCACGTAACGAAGTCATAGTCCTTGCCGGCATGCGTGTTCAGGACAATGTCCTCGCGTTTGAAAATCACGTTCAAAGGAAAGACCGAGCTGCAAGCAAAACAACCACCACAACCGCACTTTCACCACGACTCACCCTCATATAGGCTGAATGAACACGACGTCAACGTACCCAACTGCAGTCTTACCGATGGCTCGAGAAGGAATAGTACCTTGACCGTGTGCAGGAGGCTTCCAGAAACGAAACGAAAGCGGCATACTGTCTGCAAACATGTCGTCGTCACTCGGCTTTGTGTGACCGTCTGTATCCTTCGTGACCTCTTTATTCTCCGTCACCTCCTGTTTTGCTTCCACAACGTCGGCCGTAGCATCCCCACTACCACTTGCGCCGGTCCCAATTGCTCCATTTGCAGCTTCCTTGTCGATAGGCTGAGCTGCAGGAATATCACGAAACGCCTTTTCGATCTGCTCCTGTCTCAAAATGTCCTTCAGGTGTCCTCTGGCCCGAGAAATAAGCTGTGGATCTACATCCACCCCCAGCAAGTAACTCGGCGCCAATCGCTTGGCAATTGTAATGGTAAACTCCCCCGAGTTGCAGCCAATATCAAGTCCTCGTTTGCCGTCAAACCAGCTCTTGTCCAGTGCAGCAAGACGTGGATCGTCTTCTAATTCTCCTTGGTGCTTCTGACCCAGTCGATAACTGTAGTAACTATCACAATTGGAAACAACAATTATTGGACACGCGAAGTCGTAACGAGTACATCCAGCAACACCGACCTCCGAAAGTTGCCCACTCGCTGCTGCTGTTCCAATTTCTTCTCAACGTGTTGACGCTTTACACTCAGTGCTTTTGCTGGCGGCGCTACGGAGACCTTACGCTTTTTCCTGTCATTGTCATTGTCCATTCCGGTGAAACGGACACTCTGTTTTTTTCTTATCGAATGTCGTGTACAAAGCACAAAGATGCATTGCAATACGACACTGGAAAATGACGATAAGAGAAAAGTGAGCCACACTTTTTTGCGCAACGATGAGTGTAGATGTATCTCGATCGAGCACGAGATTTGCAATCAGTGAAGCCGCATGTCGTTGCCCTATTACCATTTTTTGCTGTTTTGTGACTCAGGTCGCAAGGTGCAAGAAACATTGAGCCTGTCAGACACTATTTTACATCCGTAAGAATGGCGTTGGCGGTACCCCCATCGGTCCAATTTGGGTCTCTGTTTTCACACTTTGTGCCTCACAACGTCTTCAAAGCGCTTGCGGATTGCGAGTACAAGTACATTTATGGCTGTCTACAGCGCTAATAACACTTTCTTCAATCTCAATCGAGCTGTATGCTAGACAGCAGCATTCGAGCTAACCCTCTCATGTCTCTGCTCGCCTTGCGACTCGCTTCCAAGACGCCGCAAAATACCGACTCCGGAGAAATGCTCAGCACTTCTGAGGTAGTGATATGTCGAAATATGTCTTGCTTCTTGACGTAGCCAAACTCGTGACTCGATTGCACCTGTGCCACAGCCATTGATTTGGTCGCACCACAGTACTGATGGACTAAACAATGGCTGGGCACTCACCTTGACCAGGTCCGTCAGTCCTTCTGTTCTCTGCATCCTGAAAAGCTGAGTAGGGCCAGCACTTTTCAGACGACATGCATCCGAAGCGCATGATGCAGCACAAAGATGCCCGCAGGAGGAGTCTCGATCGTAAATATGATCAATGACGCACTCAAACGGCCATCAAGTAAGCGACAAGATGTTGTAGCGGACGAATGTAGGGCAGATGTATTACATATGTCCTTTGCTCGTCACGCAACTACTTGCTCCTCGTCGGACTTGCTCCTCCATCGTATTGCACGAGGTCGTGGAGCCAATCGCTTGATACAAACACACATGTCTCCATTTTCTCACTCCTATTAATCGACCAATCTTTCTACTATAGAAGTGCTTACGGGGTAGTCAGCGGCTTGACGCATTTGATCTCGTGAGCTATCGCCGTCATAGCTCACACGAAAGCATTGCAATTCCAATGCCGGAGCCTAAGCGTACAGTTAGTGATCGTCTAGCAATTCAGTTTTTACGAGTACACTACAGCCGAGCCAACATATTTGTTGTCGACGTCCACAAAGCGCGTGGCTCTGACTTGTCTCGAGACAAACTTGTGCATAGCACTGATTTGAATTCGCAAACTTCAGATCGAGACAAACCCGCAAGACTCGTCACACACGCTTCAGTAAATGAGCGAGCCAAAGTGTGGGGCAATTGTCGTGGTGTCAAATATGCTACAGAGCCACAGAGCCTCGGTCGACTCGCTCAGTTATATCACTGTTGATTCTGTCGCACGAACCTTACAGATCTGCTGTATGTTGACTCCATCGAGCAAGTCTTGTCAGGCTACCAAACCTGGTTGCAACAATTCTCGCAAGATTGAGCTGCTCTCTGCGAGCGTCCCATTGTCCGTTCATGCTGCTTCTTCTTCTGCCACAAACAGATCTACCATGCTGTTGCATGTCGCTAGAATTAAACCAGGGCCGAAAAGCGTTGCTTGACGAATACGTACGCGTGAACCCGAGCGCTGCTACATTATGTATACTGTACGGCCTCTGCTACTGATAGAGTCTGTCGTGCATACGTATTCACACGATGTATGTTCACTGGTGTTGCTGGGCGTTGACGTGCTGTCTGTCATTCTTGGCAATTTTCGATCGTTTCCTGCACTTTGACGGTGGACTTCGTGACGAGAATGATGCGGGAGTATCTATTGCAGAGACACGCTAAGGCTACATGGACTAGCACTGATGCCGGCGCTTAAGTAGTCTGCTCCCGAGTGCAGCAGACCTCTCGCATACCTCGAGTGTGCCGTGTGTCTGCAATGAGCGAAGCGCGGATCGAAAACGATATCATGAAAGCAACGCAAACGCAACGCGGATCGGCTACATGAAGCACTTGAGCGTGAGCAGATGTACTGGTCGGTATGGTGCTTCGTGCTGATCGTTACGAGTGCCGGACGGTCTCAACAAAGTGTTCCTCTCTCCTTCAACACGCCAGCAAATGTTTTTGAGTCCCCCCCACAAGAATCAACGCAACTCCTACAAGTGCGACTTTGTCAACCAATATATTTCACCGGAACGGGTCAGGATATGTATAAAGCTGAAGGCTACGTCGTCGTCGCGCGTAGAGAGACGTCCGCAAAGAGCTTACGATACCTCCGTGATCGACGTCACATCGAGCGTGCTCGTCCACGGCTGCGAGAAGATGACGACGTCGTAGACAGAGGCCTCACAGTTGCTGTCGCGGCAGGCGCCCAGTTCGACGAAGGAGGTCACAGGGCAGCCCCTCACTTGAAACTTGTACCTCGTTCCACTCATGACCTGCTTCTCCAGTTTGACAACATCGGTGAAGCAGATTCGGCTGACCACGTCCTTTTTGTAGGCTTTTGAGGTGCTCAGACTCGTTTCGAGGAACGCGTAGTCAGCCGCAGTGACTTTTCGTGGCGAGTTCGCACCAAGAGGCGGGTTTTCAGCAGCCGACGAAGCGAGAGCCAATCCAGCGAAGAGAGCGGCCGCGCACGTGAACGTCATGACGATAGAGGATGTCGGTCGTTGAGTTGGGGTGTGGTCTCAAGCTCGAAAGTTGAGAAGTGTCTGTCGTCTCACTGTTAGCGCGAGCTTTGTCCATCTTTTTTGGGCCACTATCGATGACGAAAGAAGGACGAGGGAAGACGACGCAAAACACAGCACCATTGTGTAAAACCCCAATGGCCACGTTGTGCAGCTATACTACATGCAGTGTTACGCCGAGAGCCGTTTTCAATGAACGCGGGCGACCTGTAGAGTGGATCTTGGTGTCCACGTTGTCATGTCAGGCGGTCTCCCCATCTCGGCCTGTCCACATCAAAAGTCGTCATTCACTGCACAGTTGTGTCAAGTCGCCGTGTTGTGTACGCGTTTTCCTGTGGCACGTATGATAGTGGACATCGCAGTAGTACCGACTGCGCACGATCAGGTCACCTATGACGGTAAATAAAGGATCCATAGACGTCAGTCCATGCACATACATTGACCGGGCGTAGGAGACGCTTCCCACATGCGCAACAATCGTCAGTTGCGATTAAAATATGTCCGTACTGTCTCCCTATCACGCGAACGCCAACCGATTCGCGCAAGATGTGGTCGCTGACTAGTAAAAATGTGGTACTAAAAAGCGAAAGGGTGGCCTGCTCCTTCAGTCATACCCGGTGCAAGGATTCACATTGCAAGGCATCGTGAGCTGCTACGTACAGTGTGTCATCTTGATCACGTTGGCATGATTGCTCCTGTAAATCCAATTCTGCGCTTGTTCGCCTCCGACAGTCACTACAATCACGACACAAACGAGATGGTCGACCCCGCTCGTCAACTCCCCAAGCACTGGTGCTGTCTCGAGCAGCAATCAACAACTAAGCGAACGCAAACCCCTACCGAGTCTTCAGTGCGTGCTACTCTATCTGCTACATGCAACACCATCTACAAAACTGTATGCGAAAAACGACATCAGGCACGCAATGGACGTTGCAACAATTCAACACTTTTTCTCGGTCATCGATTCCAGGATGTTCAAAGCGTCGTCACCGTCTGGTCTACATCAAAGTCGCCATTTGCAAACTGTACATATCACATGAGTCAGAAAGACATTCCCCTGCACCGAAGTCGCCGTATGCAAACTCTCTTCAGTCGCTATGCAACGTCGGTCCTCCTTGACAACGACTTTAACAAGCTTATCAGGGAAGCTGCATAACCAAAAGGAGCGTCGCAGCTGCCATATCAGAGAGGACGTTGCTGCAGTAGATTCGTACAGAGTTTGCAGTGGTCTAGCGCCGGCTGTAACGATTGATGGTCTGGCACCCAGTGTAGATGGATTCCCGCCCAGCCTACAACACCCGATAAACCTCGTTTCAAAGGTCAAGTGGTCGCGAGGTCAGATCGCGACGTCGTAGCACGACACCGTGACGGTCGTTATCTGCCGATGTCGCCTCGATGGGAAGCCTAACCTAACGGCTTTCCATTGTCGCTAGCACTTCTCATCTGGGTTTGTATCGGAAACGAGCCACTCTCGCATGACAGTTGGATGGTGTACGAGTCGGTGCGCGTTTCCCGGTCCAAGCGATCGCAATGCCCGTTCATGGCGCGAGGACCATTACTTCGCACATAGCACCGGCAGCCACTACGGCTGTTGGGCATGAATACCACGTCGGGAGAGTTTCCGAGGAGCACGAACGACTTTATAGGATGGATCCGCGCTTTCTAGGTTGTCGTGCCAGAAGGTCCCGTTCCTCGTCCTGCGACGCCCGAACCCGTCGTCATTCGCAGCACAGTCGTCATTCGCAGCGCAGTTGTAGCGAGTGGCTACGATGTACTGGTCCTGGCATTGGCAAAGAGCATTGCGACCAGCTGTGCGACAGGAAGCCAGACTGGATAGTGGACCGTCCAATCGTCATTGGTGAAGTACCGTAGCGTTTGTCTATTGTGATTGTTCTACGACTTTTCGCCATTTAAACGAAACTGGGCAATTCTTTTGACATAGAACCTATCTCTTGTAGCCCAATCAGGTGCTCCTCTCATGAATCAGCATAAATGCGTGCATTTGTCAGATTGGTAGATTGATTGACACAAGCCTTCATGGTGAAGTACAATCTAGCTCGATCGTCTGTATGCAGCGGGAGGGAAGGCAAGTGCCGCGAACAAACGATTGGTTTCGACTCTAATCGTGGCCCGCGTATCATGGGGTGCTCTAAGAAGCGGTGTGTCGACGCACCATAATCGCGCCCCTAATGAAGTAACGTCCCACTCCACATCACACTCTTTCGTCGTGCAGATGCAGGGTAATGATATCAAAGATGCACCATATCTCCACAGGATACGTAACAAGAAGCAATATGTGAAACAATGGTCAGAGAACGATACATGTCGGTATCGCTTTCGAAGATGAAGGTGAATGCAGCGGTCGCAAGCTAAGAGGTTTACGATACAGAGTTACTCTTGTTTTGCATCTTTTTACGCCTTTCATTCAGGTATGTTGCAGCTGCCAGGACAAAGACCAGATACGTTCTTGATGCAACCAAGTTGCTGTTGCTGCACGTGTTCAACTACGAGATGAGCAGCAAAGCGCTTCAACTCGAATATTGCAGCACTCGTGGATTTCGTTTCTGAAAATGCTTTTGACTGGCTGTGTTCATGGCAAACGCAAGACAATCACAACAATTGTCATTTCACAGCAGTTGTCATTTGGTATTTATGATCTGTACGCTATGTGTGCAGCTTCAACAGAGCCCTTGGATTATGTGTGCGTGTTTCCGCTTGTATGCATTCGATGTGGAAAATCGTTTTGTGGCGCTTAACACTCGCAGAAACCTAGCCACGACTAGACAGATTCCAACCAGCTCGCCGTTTGCCTTTTGCGGTGGGGAACGACGACATTGAAAGACGCAATGTCGGTCTCATTATTACGTGGGAAGTCTGCGCTAGTTTTCAGGGTATTTGCCGCTATCGTTGCAAGTGCATTAGCATCTCGGCAGCACCTTGATACAATCCATCGCTCAGCAAAAAAGTACGCTCGAATATTCAGGTTTGGAGCCCAACACTAAACCTTGCTAAACGTCCTTGTGATGTGGATTGCATGCTTGAGCTACCACAAGAACGTAACAAATGCTGCAAACGGTAAGCATGGAGCGCCAAGTAGCATTTAGCCGAATGTGCGGTACCTCGTTAAGAGGTCAGGGTGTCGTAAAACACGATGTGGTACGAGGAAGTGCGTGCCTCGTACAAGGATGAGCTCAGTCATGAGGAGAATGTGATCCCGGTAAGGGAGGGGGTGGTACGTAAGTACATATCATGGCCATTGATGAATGCTCGATTCTCGTGTCTTGTATACATCTCATCGGTATTTTACTCACTGCTCGTCGCTATCACACGAACACCGCTGCAATTCGACGTGGTACCTATAAGTGTAAAAAAGCAATTGCTCTAGATACAGATACTTTCGAGATAAGAACGTAGATATAGAGCGCTCTAACTCCTAAACCTCTTAGCTTGCGACCGCTGCATTCACCTTCATCTTTGGAAGCGATACCGACATGTATCATTCTCTGACCATTGTTTCACATATTGCTGCTTGTTACGTATTCTGTGAAGATATGGTGCATCTTTGATATCATTACCCTGGATCTGCACGACGAAAGAGTGTGATGTGGAGTGGGACGTAACTTCATTAGGGGCGCGATTATGGTGCGTCGACACACCGCTTCTAAGAGCACCCCATCATACGCTGGTCACGATTAGAGTCGAAACCACTCAACTCAGTTTAAATGGTTCAGAGTAAGTGATCGAGAAAAGAAAGAGAGACTCGCGACTTTGTCGAATCCACAATGCTTGCCGCAGGCGTGAGTTACCATACTCGTCTCTAGCAACGACAAAGTTTACCAGCGACTGACCGGGTCGGCGAGCCGTATGCTCTTACGAAGAACGTTGCTATAGGAACTCGCAAACCCCCTTCTGTTGCCGTTCTTACATCTGATAGTCAGTGGACACATCGTCACACGTGACTATCGTTGCTATTCCGAAGGACACGGCAGAGTCTCTTCGATGTTGTGATGCGAAGAAGAAGTCCAATGTGACGCAAATTGCCGAACCGTTTGTTTGTAGTGCTTATGTACGCCCTGCGCTTTTCTCGGGGGCAGGCTCTTTTGCAGCGAGCCAATCTACGCGGCTCGAGTTCATGCAAAGTCGTCGGCACGGCATCCGAACATATAATCAGGTCTCGAGACCACACGTACTTCCTATCGCGTTGGTGCATGTCGACGTTGAGCAGCTAACGTGTCACTTGTGCCGAGCGAGGCGGGTACGACCTCGATGTGCAAAAGTAGCCGACGCGTCACATCCACCACAGTAGAGGCACGCGCGAACTGGCATCGGTGGTCTCATGGAACAAGTACAAGTCAATGCACCTGTCACCCTCCAACGAGATGACAATCGTTTACGTCCCTCAATACCTCTAACGCAACTACTAAACGTGACGAGTGTTTGACTGGCAACGAGTATATTTCACCTAAGCTGGTTAGTCAGTGTGTATAAAGCTGGAAGCGACGCTGGCGTCGCGCTGGACGAGACGCCTTTTGAGACTTACACTACCTTCGTGATCGACGACACGTAGAGCGTATTCGTCCACGGCTGCGAAAAGATGACGACATCGTACGGGGAGTCATCGCAGTTGGAGTTTTCGTTGCGGCAGACGCCCAATTCGGCGGGAGAGGTCACCGGGCATCCCTTTACTCGGTAGCGGAAGTTCGTACCATACACAGCCTGTTGCTGCACCGTGTAGAATGCAGTGAAGCAGATCCGAGTCGACACGTCCTCGCTGTACGACAGCGGGTCGGATGCAAGAATTGTGAGGTAGTTTATCTCGTCTTCATCCATCTGTCGTCGTTTGTCATAGCCACGTACAAGCGGTTCACTATCGTCACGCCGGAGTTCAGCTGCCGACGAATGCAGAGCCAGTCCGGCGAGTAGAGCGAAAGTGCGGATGACGGTCATGACAATGGCGGAGGTCAGGTCGTGGGGCGTTTGAGGAGCTGCTGCTGCTGCTGAGCTGGAGTCGGAGTGTGGTCTCGCGTGCGAAACTTGGAATGAGATTATGCCCTCACGTGCAGCGTGGGCCCAGCAGCTCTTCTACGTGGTATCATCGATGAAACAGCTGGAGGATGTGAAGCAACCGGACAGAGATCTGAGAAATGCTATGTGACATGCAGCGGTATCATTTCTTACCACAATCGTCTCAATTTGGGGGGAGAGGCGAGACGGCAGCCAGTGAAACATACAAAGGCAGCAAGTGAGGCAGCAAGTGCGTCAAACATACATTTCTGGTTCTTTTGCGCCCGATGTTAACATACTAAATAGCGCTACCAGTTCCCACCGTGCTTCAATTGAATCGTCTTGTTTTGCAGCTTTATTCTTATCCGGCATGATACTGAAGAAGGATCGACAGAAGCAGCTGGCGAGACGCCTTTGTGAACACGCGCGGGTTGAAGCGGTGGGCCTATCTCAAACGGGTCTGCGTTCATCATCGGCTGTTGCTGCTGTTGCTGCTGTAGCGGTGTCATTGGCTGCGGCTGGTGGTGCTTTAGCGGCGGCAGTGGCTGCTGGAAGTGGCTGCTGGAAAGCAACTGGGCCTCGTGGAGCTGCGGGCGCGCCAAATGAGACATTAAGCAGATCCATTACGGCCTTCGCGCATGTTATTGTAGATGTAATGGGGTTACACGTCGACTGGTAGTCGACAATAGGTGTGGTGCACACAAGGGATGGGATCCCCTTTAAAGTAATATTTGAACACAGTATCAATTGTTGAAGACTGATGTCTGTCAACCATTGATTACGAGGTCTTTTTAGGGGTTAATTTAGGACAGTACCGAGTAGGTTAATTCCTTTGTTCTAAGGTGTTCTTTTAGGTTAAAAGAAGAATTAAAATTCAATTCTCATTTTGATCCGATAGACACGTGCCTCTTTGAGGCGTCTTGTGATCGTTAAGGAGGTAGCAACGCCTTGTTAAAGCAGCTACTCCTTGTGCACTCTGTGCGTTTGATTCTTTGAATCGTTTGGTCCCCCTTGGAACCGGGACCGTAAGCTGTATGAGCTTGCCTACTCTTTGAGTCGGGTTCTTTGAACCAAACCTTAGCTCTCTGAGCTGTTGACTCTTTGAGTCGGGTTCTCTGAACCTTAAGTTGCTCACTGAGCGTTAGCGTTTTCCTTTGACTTAAGGAGATGTATAGCTCCGCTACACTTGGTAGCACTCGTAGGCAATCTACGCCTGAGTCGTTATAGCTGATCGTCTGTGAGGATGGAGCAATCCACACCCCTCTCGGAGGGCTAAAAGATCGCGCTTGATAAGCTGACCGCGGCCGTAGGCCCAGAATATGTGGAGATTCTAGCTGCACAAGGTCCCGATGTGCTCAATGCACGAGTCGAGACCTTTATGCAGTATGAAACGGCCCTGTTAGGGCAGGTTCAAAACCAAGTAGCGTCGGCTATGCCGACACGCTACGTGGCTATGCCACCAGAAGAGGCTAAGCCTCGTCCCCTTCAGGCGGATGTTAAACTTTACTCCGGGAAGGAGGGGGAGAACTTGACCCTCTGGATTCGTGAGATTGAGATGGCCATGGACTCTGGTCTCATCTCACTAGAGAACCAGCGGGTCTCTTTGGCCATCTCTAAGCTCGATGGTAGAGCTAGAGAGTGGGCTTTGACGTGTGGCACGTCGGTCAATTTGGCATTCCCCACGTGGGAATCGCTCAAGTTAGACCTCATGCGAGTTTTCTCGCCGCCTAACCAGGCATATCGCGTGCGATCACGCTTCTTATCAACCCGTCAGGGTAAGAGCGAGTTAACGGACTATGTCCAAGAGTTGAGAACTCTGATGGCTGCTATGCAGTCTGACCCTCTCCCTGAGACAGTCTGTGTGACTGTCTCCATGTAAGGTCTTCGTAATGTCTTTGCCGGGACCGAGGTGTTTCGGGTCCATTCCTCCTCTTTTGAGGAAGCTGTTAGCATCGCTCAAAATGCTGAGCACACATTTAAGTTGGCCAGACTTGGCTGGAATGGGTACAGCTCAAGCTTTGCGAGGGCGACCTCTGCGAGCACCTCGGCTTACTGTAAGCCAGAACCAATGGATCTTCGCCATGCTGAAGATGAAGGTGAAGCGGAGCTTCATGTTGCTGAGCAACGACAGGAATTGAGACGCTGTTACATGTGCGGAAGCACTAAACTCTTGCGTCCCACTTGTCCTTTGCGTAAGCAGCAACCGACTTATATGGGTCGAATCCCCAGTCCCAACCAGAAACCTGTTATGGCCCGGGGATACGTCGACACGCAGTAGGTGCGGGGCGCCCTACTGGGGCAGAACTGAGTTCTGAGACTTCTCAACGAGGTAGAGCGAAACAGGGCTTAGCTTCACCGAGCTCTGTGCCCGCCAGCACAGAGCGTGAATACAAGCCTGGCTTGTTATTCGCTGATGCGACAGTAAAAGGATTTGTGAAGCATTGGTCGATTCTAATCGACTCCGGAGCATCATGCAATTATGCTCGACGTCTTTCCCTGAGGGAAGTCAGCGATATGCTAAGGCGCTCAAAGCGCATGAAGGTGATTCCATCACCGTTCGTTTAGCGACTGGTAGTCGAGTCACGGTGCCTAAGGTTCCGTTGAACTTAGGTGTGAAGTTTTTGGACTTTGACATCATTGAACGCTGTCTTGTCCTCGATTTGGACTCGAGACATGATATCATCCTAGGTATGGCTTGGCTTGAACGCCATGAGCCATAGATTTATTGGAGGTCTAAGACCTCAGGCGCCACGCGCAATGTTCCTAGCAAGCTTTAGAGAGTCATGAAGCCACCTTTGCTAAGCAACAAAAGCGCTATTGGCGCTAGCCATTGGCGGAAGATGTTAATGTGCTGGACATTGGTATGTCAGACTTAATTAGCTCCAATGTCAATGACATTAATATTGAGCGGAGCTCTTTCACCGTATGTAAAGGGAGCTATACTCCGTTGAGTATTACTCGTTGTGATACTGAGTCACTGCATGCTGCAGGCATGTTTGGCCTAGGGACGAGACATCAAGAATGTAATTCCTCTGATGTGGGGGGTGGCACGTGAAATTCTACCGAGTGAGGGCGGCCGAGGTGGCACCTAACTGAATGTCGGTAATGACATTGATGGCGAGAAGCCAGTGTATTCAGGGATAGGCCTAGATGCTGTTCGTGAAGTGATACGTGTAAATCTACTGGGTGAAGTGTTCGATTTACGTAACACTTCACCAGATGTCGTTCAAGACATGAGCTCTCGTATAGAGGGTGCTAAGATGAATAGCAACCACGGGGACTCTACTGTCCCGGCCTCAAGGAGGCGTGAGGTTTCTTTGAGGAAACAATCTCAGCTTAGGGTGGCAACTATTAAGTGCCCAACGTCTAAGAAGTCACGAAGTAATAATAGTAATAATACACTATATACACTTGTCAATGGGTTGACTGGCCAGATTGATGGCAATATCAGTCTTAAGACTCTACCGTCCTTGGATACTCTCTTTGAACTAGACGAAATGTCTGATGACGAGTTAAGCCAAACCTTACAGGCAGGAGAATTATCCGAGTTAGTGGTCATTCGGCCGGATATTGAGTTGAACTCATCCTCGTTTTTGGACGAGTCTGTCCTAAAGGGCAAGAAGTCGGCATTGGATGCCCGTAGTGAACCTTTAATTCTTAAGAATCCTCCTGATCCTTTTTATCCTTTGGTGAAGGAGTTTCAGGGCGTGATGTGTCACAACCCACCGTCCGTCTTGCCTCCCGATAGAGGTGTACGTCATGAAATGGGCTTGGTTCCTGGAACTAAATACTGCGTAACACGGCAGTGGCCTTTACTGAAGGAACAGTGTGACGTCATTGACGACTTCTTTGGTGCAAAGCACGCGGCAGGAATGGTACTTGAGAGCGAATCTCCCCATTCCACACCGACCTTCTGTGTCAAAAAGCCCAATGGGAAGTGGCGCATTGTTCATGCTTACAATAAGCTCAATGCGGCCACCATCCCGGCTCAGACACCAATTCCGAGGAAGGATGTTCTTCAGAACAATATGGTGGGATGTACAATGTACATTGCGCTCGACTTAGTCGATGGTTATTACCAGCTTCTCATGCTAGAAAGCGATATTTCGCTAACAGCAGTCAGCACTCCAAGCGGAATGCTCTGGGAGTGGCTTGTTATGCCTCAAGAATTATCAAATGCCCCGGCTACATTCAATCGTCTTGTGACACAATTGTTCAGACCTCACCGAGGATATGCACAGACGTACTTTGATGACATCTTTGTCCATAGTCGTGCTATGAACGGTCGGTCAGATGTGGACAATCACGTTGACCATTTACGGCGGTGCTCGAGCGCATGCGCACGAATTAGTTGTACGCAAACGCGTCTAAGTGAATATTCGTCGCAGAAGAAATTCCTTTTTAGGGTGCTTTATTGGTAAGCGAGGCCTTAGAGCGGATCCCGCTAAGGTAACAGCCATAGTTGATTGGCCGGTTCCTAAGAACCAAAAGGACTTACGTAAGTGGCTTGGCCTTGCCAATTACTTGCACAAGTACAGTGTGAATTACGCAGATATGGCTTGACCATTATTCAATCTCCTTAAAAAGGGTGTGGAATGGTCCTGGACTAGCACCGAGCATGATGCTTTTCAAGCAGTGTAGGATAGTCTCCCTTATGCGCCAATCTTAGTTTTGCCTGATCCTATTCGATTTTTCAGTGTCGTCTGTGACGCATCTGACTTTGCCATAGGCAGCTCTCTGTTACAGACAGATTCTGATGGACGGGAACGCGTCATTGCGTTTGAGTCCCGGCAGCTGAAGGCTGCAGAAAAGAACTATCCTGTTCATGACAAAGAGCTACTTGCAATGAAGTATGCTCTCGTCAAATTCAGAGTTCATCTTCTTGGCTCTAAGCCATTTGTGATCTATACAGATCATGCGTCACTGCGCACTGCGACCCAGTC